ATTACTAAAGAATGTTAGCCCTGACGTTATCTGCAAAAAGGTTCATATGATCGTGTTAATTGATACCGAAGAGAATAACTAATTTGTGCCTACCAGTCTTTGCATTAAATCCACGTTTAGCACTAGTGCAAGTTAATGATCGAAATTGTGCGTAAATAGTGGCCGATTGTTGGCCCAACGTTCAACAACACTGCGGTGACCTAAATCCCAAATTGAACTTTTATAGCACGCACTGAGCGTTTATTAGGGATAGCCTAACATTTTACAATGTACCCAGTAATTGGTCATATATCTGTTTATAATCCTCTTTAGTTATTCACCAACATTTTTAATAGTAAAATAATTTAAAAGTAATATTTGTTTACATTCTTTAAACCTTGACATAACTAAATATGTCCTATACAAAAGACATCAACGCGTTCCAAAAATATTTAAATATGTATATTTACTATTATTTTTTAAAATATAAATATTAAATTGGGAACACGTGTCATATCAATTTTATCGATGTATGAATCAAAAAGAATAAATCTTCACAAAAATCACATTTACTTTAGTGTCGTGACATCTCGATAATAAATATCGATGTGTGAAATATTTTGATTAATCGAGTATCGTAAAGTGGATATGCCGTTATAAATAAACATATTAATGTTTAAATACGTTTACGTAGTATATGAGTGTATTGAATTTATTACAAGGAATTTATAGAGCTTTTCATCGGCTTCCGTGTGAGTCAGCGACGCACGTGTATTATTAGCCGGCTATTCCCGTACTAGCCGCCATCAAAGAATAAATAGACTCGCAGATATGACAGCGTTCCCTTTCTAACTATTGTAACGTAAATCGAATTTCGCTTTCATCGCCATTCATAAGTTTTTATTGTTACGCAACAACTTTTCTTTGACAACTTTCCAAAATTGTTACTGAAATCGATTGATTTACGTAACCGGAAGAAAATTACAAAGAAATCACTTTTACTTTTTTTTACTATACTTTATAGTGTCTCGTCTCGTCTCGTCACGAGTTTGATAGAGGTGCGCCTGCGCATAGACATTAATAAGGCCACGCCCACTATGTACCTGTGTAATTAGCAAGCAATTAGAAGTCGCGACTTGTATTCTTTATTAGTAGCTAATTCATATGTAAAACAATAATTATTTCCTTGTTTCCCGTGTGATAACTTTGCGTGATTACTTAAGTATGTATTATACATAAATACTTGCTTAAATTATATTATCAGACAGCTTTAGAGAACTTAGTTATACACATAACTAGCTAGACTACCTCGTTGGCCGAGTGGTCGCAAGTGCGACTGCCTGCCTGGAGAGGTCTCGAGTTCGATTCCCGGGTCGGGCAAAGTATTACTGAGTTTAAAAAAATATATCAGTAGTAGCACAGAGTCTGGAATTTGCCCATTATAGGCTCAACCCCTATTACATGGGACTCATAACAGAAATAGTGAAAAGTGGGTGTTACTTGTAGTGACATTGAGTGCAGTAATGTGCACCTCTGCCTACCCCTTTAGGGTAAAAAGGCATGATGTTATTATATGTTATAACTAGCTACTTCAGCGCGGCGCGGCGTCATGTTTTAGCCTATAATAACCTTTCTCAATAAATGCATTATCCAACTCAAAAGAATTATTCAAATCGGACCAGTAGTTCCCGAGATAAGCGCGTTCAAACAAACAAACAATTAAACAAATAAACTCTTCAGCTTTATATAATAGTAGTATAAGATGTACATCTATAAATAATGCTTCGAATATTTATGTAACAGTTAACGACAGTTATGTTATTAAAAAAGAATATTAAGGACACAAAAAATCACGGAGATAGACATGACATAGAAATTTAATACATAGCCAATAGGCATATGTATTTATTTATTATGACATTAATAACTTATTATAGGTTCTTTTTGGATTTTTTACGAATTTTAATGAAATCGTAGTTGTAATACCTAAGACTTTGTAATTTTCTTTCTATGACTTATTAAATACCTACACATATAAATAAAATGTCTGATTGTAATATTAAAAAAGCACCTTTTACGTCATGCGTATGAAAATACCTACACTAACATATTTTTTTACTAGTTTTGTCTGTCTGTCTGTCTATCTGTTTCTACTGGCTAATCTCTGGAATGGCTGGACCGATTTTGACTGATCGAAGAAGTAAGATAGGCTACGTTTATTTTTGAAAATTGAATCGAAAAAATAATCCTGAAATATATTCTACGCGAACAAAGTCGCGGGCAACAGCACTAGCTGTAATACTAATTAAATATACACAGGAATATGTATTTTAAATCTGTTAATTAATAGAATTTAAAATCCTACAGTGATTTCTAAAATAACTTAACAAGGAAATTCTCAATTTTTCTAGACTTTACATTATCAATTAAATAAATAGATACTGCTATAACAATATTGACTAATGAGTTACGGCCAATTAACGCAGGTTTTATTCCTAAGTAATAGTTTATTTATGTTAGAGAAAACTTTAAGTACTTAGCAACAGAGTACCTACAATTTCAATACAATTATCAGATGATGACACCATCACAATGTCTAGAGAAAAGATAAAATTATAAATACAAGGTGTTGTTTTAAAGCCGCGTCATTTTCTATGAGGTAACTCGGCTATCGATTCTGAGTCCGAATCAATAAAAAAAATGTAGGTAAATATTTTTCATTTGCCTGTAAATTAAGGAAATCCGTAAGTGCGAACTACACGCCGCCGTCTTGTAACTAGCTTTATAACAGCTCAACAGACAAACTCAAACACGTAATTGATATTAATTCTAATTCCATAAAACTATTGGCCCAAAACTTTCTCTTACATTGAACCTTTATGACTTCTGTGACATGCCCCCGAGAAATGCCACGGTTTCAAAACTACACCTTGTATAATAACAAAATATAGCACCTCAATACAATGTCCCTTTTTAACCGACTTAAAAAAAAGGAGTTTCTCAGTTGGTCCTGTATGTATGTATGTTTGTGCACAATTATCTCGCAATTGGCAAAACCGATTTTGACGCGGTTTTCAAAAACGTCTTTGTTACCCAGGAGAAGGTTTTAGTATTATATTAATTAACCTACTTCAAAAAAGAGGGGGTTGAAGTTGTTTTTAATGTTGTTTGTAAAAGAGTTATTATGTAATAGAACTATTTTTTTCACATTTAAATAAAGTATTAAGTAATGATTGTTGTAATCGTTTGTCTCTTTAGTCCTGGGTGTGTTTACATTTATGGAACACAAAAATATTTATTCCATGTTCAAAATAAAATCACGACACGTTGCGCTGTGGCCACTCACCTTATCATTACACCATATAATGTATAATATAGTATATAATACGTATCATACATATACTAGTCAAAACAAAATAAGGGCCACCACGTTTTTATAGTTTCCTCATGAAATCTTGAGGTTTAAGTGTTGATTAATGATTAGATTTGATAAATTAACTGTTTTTTATTATTAACAGCACAAAATGATGAAAGTCACATTCCAAAAAAAAAAAATTACCATTTTTTTTCTGAAAAACTAACATTTTTGCAAGCAAAACGTATGAAATCAGAATCAAGTAAAAAAATAAACAAATCAGATATTGGTTGAATTGTAACTCCTCAATATTTAGTATGCCCTCCTCGTTTTCTAATGCACTCTTGAAGCCTGGATGGTACACTCTCCACCAAGTGTACCACTGTTTCTTGAGGAATTTGTTCCCAGCTTGATTTTAAAATGTTTATTAGCTGTCTTTCATTGTGCACGGGTTGTTTTGTGCTTCGAACGTTGCGTTTGAGTAAATCCCACATGTGTTCAATGGGATTGTGATCCGGACTGTTTGCAGGCCAGGGCAGCACCTGTATACCAGCCTCCTCTATAGCTTCTCTGGTGACCCTAGCTGTATGAGCGCGAGCATTATCGTGCATCAGACGGAATCTTGCGCCGATTCTTTGTGCATATGGGACCACATGAGGTCTTATGACCTCCTCGATGTAACGTTGAGCTGTAATTGTGCCTTCATTGAGAATTATCAACTCAGTTCTACCTGATGTAGAGATTCCTCCCCACACCATAACGTTAGGGCCCCCAAATCTGTCCTTTCATGGATACAAGCATCCGAAAATCGCTCACCTTCACGCCTCCAGACCCTAATGCGACGGTCATCACAAAAAAATTTTACTTTGCACTCATCCGTAAACAATACTGTGCTCCATTCACTCATATCCGATGCCAGATGCTGCCTTGCGAACGATAATCGGTTTGCACGATGAGCACTTGTCAATGGTATCCGCACTACACGTCTCCTAGAGAACTGCTGGTCCTCGTGTAACCGATTTCTAATGGTTTGATCACTAACACGTGTACCCGTAGCCTGCCGCAAACGGTTTTGTAAGGAACGGGCTGTGATGCAGCGTTCTCTGCGCGCAGTCAAACGTATGTAGCGGTCTTCCTGTGCAGTAGTTGCTCGATTTCTGCCAGATCCCCGTCTCCTGGTTAGTCTCCTAGTCTCTTGAAATCGATACCAAGCATTCTGAATTGCTCGCCGGGAAAAACCCAGCTGCATCGCAACAGAACGCTGCGAATGGCCTTCTTGAAGTAATGTTACGGCCCTAGTTACGGTTGGTAAGTCTATATGACGTCGGATTCTCGGCATATCTTTGTTAAAGAAATAATTCAGCCAGAAGTAAAACAAAACTAAACTGTTCTTGACAGAATCGTCAGTTTGACTGAGTTAAAATCCATCTTAAAATCGGGTAAAATCTAATGGGTACAATAAATTATCAAAAACTGCTCACTTCACAGAGTTATGCCTGTAGAACACTTAAATAAATGTTTGTAAACAAATAAGGTAACGCTGTAATAACCATTTAGCTACTTGAGTACGCAGAAAAAATAAATTATCGCTACCGCTGTTAAAAATAACAAGTGGCCCTTATTTTGTTTTGACTAGTATATATTATAAGTCTTATGTTTGTTGCAGCACGCTGGGAGTAGCACACGTGGCTGGTATGTGTAAGCCAGATCGCAGCTGTTCCGTCAATGAGGACAACGGCATCATGTTAGCGCACACCATCACACACGAATTGGGACATAAGTAAGTCACTTCCCAATCTATTGCACCCATCTTTTGTCAAGTTTTTCATGAATTTTCTTCGAAAAACTTACATAAAGACGAATATGGAGATTCAAGACCACTTTAGCAGGAAAATCAATTTGCATCTAAAGGTCCATTGTTGGAGAATGATTTGATACTTAGCAATGTACAAAACGCAATATAAAAAATCCCCAAGAAAAAAAAAAGCAATGAGCATTCCCAGTAATTAAAACACATTCACCTTAAATATAATACCTATGTAATTAGATACAGATAAAGGATAAACGCAATTAAGTACGCGTTAATTATAATTACTCAACGATTATTTGCTTAATGAATTTCGTAATCGAAAATACCGAAATCTAATTAAGAAGCGATGGCGAACTAATTCGCGAGATTTAATGATGTCATTGACACGGTACTAATCAGCCATAGCTGTAGATTGTGTCATAAAAAGTGTATTTCTAATGAAATCCACTTGTATAAGACTATTTGTATTTTACTGAAATACTTGGGAATAACGATGACACATTGTTACTTGAATATATGGTTTATTGGTCTAAACAAGTTCGGTTGTCGCGGAGAACCGAACGGGTTACCGAGGCTCCGGCTCGACGTGCAGGAGAAGGAACGGGGTGGTTTTTAGTCAGTAAGAGTCTGACACGATCCCGCCTCACCCAGGCGGGAGAAGTCATTCGATGATTTTCCACCCTTAAAAAAAACAAGTTCGGTTATCTGACCTCAACAGATGCCTATGTAACTTTTAAGGTGAAACCTCGGACACTTCGGATTCGGACGATTCGACATAGAGAAGTGAGCGAGATTTCATGAGATTACAGAATTCTAAAATTTGTTTCATTCATACTTTCGACGCGTTTGGTGCGTTTAAATGTCCGTCCAATTTCACTAAGAATTTTCGAATACCCACTTCGAAAAAGCCTGCTAATTAGATATAATTTCATTCTTTTCATTAATTTCCGAGATATTAGCTACATATGACCATAGTTGTACACACGGTTGTACATAAGACCATACAACTTGGTCTTTGTAAGCAAGTGTTATAAAATACTTTTAGGTATGCCTGTCAAAATAAAACTTGTAAATATAAATATTGGGAAAAAAAATAATAATAAAAAGACACTAAATATTATCTTCAAATACTTTTATCTATACCCATATTTTTAATTGAACGACTCTATAAATATATTTGAATATTAAATGCATCATTATATTTTTTCTTGCAATTTTCCGAGAATCGCGATTATTTCGGCAACTGTCCAGTGTAGTCTAGAAAAAATGTAATGCGTCCAATTACTGTTAGTTGGCAGGTCACACTCATTAATTAATGTTTTGTGGTTAACTTATTTTATCTTCATCGCAATTTATCTAATTCTATTTGCGAGAAGAAACATCGATTTTGCGGTTTTCCTCGCTAAGAAGTTTTAACTTAGAATTGTAAATGAGGTATCATTTGTTAGCTTTTTTTATCAAGTGCTAATACAATTTTAGGATGATCTAAAAATTCCCACATACGCATTCGATAGGTAACTTTTTGACACTATTTTAGTCTCTGTTCTAAGTATAATGAGTTATCTGGCAGCATCTTCTATCATTATCACTCACGACATAATTAGTTAAACTTAAAACAAGATTTCCAGAAGTTAGCTGGAAATCTCTCAACAGAGCGTTGTTTAAAAACATTGATTGCACGACCTTGATTCACAATTACAGCTTATATTTAGATTACAATGTGATTAATTTTCAGTAAAACTTTTCGATTAGATGACTCACCCATCGCACTATTGGACTGGAAATATTAATCGCAATGTAAACACGCGGGTTATATAACACATAATGTACAGCTAGCGCAGTTACTGATTGGATACCCACTCCCGAAATAGATGTCTACAGTCCTTCATAAGTTCGCCATCGATGTACTGAACGTTTTACATCCCATAAAGAATTTAATATCGGAATAGATACGAAAAATGATTTAAAGCATAGCTAAGATTTATGTTAACAGCGTAACATTATCATATCCTTAGTAGTTTCCATACAATCGACTGACGGTACCCACGTCTCATAAAATGCCAATCGCCACTAATAAATCCTCATATCATTTGTAGGTTTACGGGGTCTCGAGGAAATTTTTATTATGATTTATTGATACTCTCACCAATCAAGCTTTTTATAACCCATTACTGATTCTACATAAACATCTTCCGTTTAGTATAAGTGGCCACATCAAAACGACATATTTCAATTGCATTTTGCAGTATATTACAAATCCGACCTAGATAAATTGATTACACGCTTATTACTACAATTATAAAATTATAATTTATGACTTGCTTCAACTGAGCTTACTTTATGTGCGGTACAATCCGTCTGTTTTTTCTTATGTTCATATTTTTACTCAGCCTCCTTTGAAACAGTCGGCAAAGATGTTAAAGCTTGCTCAAACATCTTCGTTTATACGATTTAGTTAATAATAACAACTTTTCCTTATATACCTGGCTAGATCGCGAATCATTTCAGCGCCACATCAAACGATTGACTTATTCTAAAATAAACAAATCAGTACCAATGTATTATCAATTCTCGGGCGCCACACACTCTTTAAAGTATATTTTAAAATTATTTCAGAACAACCATGCGTAATATTGTTTGTATTATTTTGGAAATAAGTGCTAGTTTTATTTGGCAACGGTTGCCGAGTGCTTCGGTTATCGGGACTGAGTCATGTTTCTGAGCCGAGATTACCGCAAGGACGTTGCTTTCGAGATAGAAAATTGTGGAACACTTGCATTGCATCCGTCATTAAGTGAACGTGTAATTGTAGTATTTAGTACAAACATGGCGTTGTCACTAGTATTAGACAACGCCTACAATCATAATACAAACATTGGTTATGTAATGTGCAAACAGCGCGAGTCAGCCATTGACCTTCTTGTAGACATGAATGCATCATTCGCCGCGTACAATGCACCCGGTGCATTGACGCCGCACTATCGGGCCACACAAGTTCATTATTTTTCAGAGCGTTATCTTGAATAAAGAATAAGGGGTTTAATAATAAATTAAACAATTTGCAGGCGACAGACATGCTATACGGGTCGCGAGCGCGACTCTTGACATTTACGTTCATGTAGTGTGCAACGAACATGATGGGCACTCACAATCGGATTTTATCGCTCGGATGTGAAATCAAACCGTTTCACTTTAACACATACAGATGTAGATTAACATTAGCCATTATATTATTTTAATCCAAACCAGTCGCGGCGCATCTTAATAAAATTAATTGCGAATATATTTTTCCTCCTACCAAAATACTGAATTAACAAGTTCGTAACCTCGCGTGCCGACACTTCCGGAGTTTCAATTCGTCTGGCTAAGAAGCAATTAAATTGATATTTTTACATTCAAATAGATCCGTTTCGCTTTTTTTATTACGGACAGGTTTATTATTATATTTTTATTTTGACACAAACTTTTTTTGCATTGGGTTTACGAGTGCTGAAGTGAAAATCCATCTCAAGTGGTGGATAGAACCGAAACGTCCATTGATACATTTTGGGTTTATGCCAATATATTTTCGATACACATTCGCGATGTCTAAGCGTGTAACTGACAGTGTGCCGTGATAGACAGAGACCAGATTATAATAGTGGGATTCAGTGCCAAATATCACGGAGACTGACTGACTGACCCACTGTTTTGTCTAGCCGTATTGAGTCTGGGTTATGAATAGACGGTCCCATCCTTTTATTTAATATCGTGTCACACTTCCAAATTATACATAACACGTTACACAACTTCTGATACAAATTCCAGAGTATTTATTCACAACTCGATCATAATTTTTATTTATTACTTACAGTAGAGACAACTAAGCTGGCCATAAACTCCGACTACTGAATGTCATATCTTTACCGAACATTATCATTTAAAACAATCAAATGCCCAATATTATGGGGATTATTGCATATCAATATTTTATCGACAGATTATTATGCTGTTATTAATCATAAATTAATATTTTTATATAGATTACATGATTCAATTTTAACCATATTTTTTCCTCGTCGTCGTTTAAAAGATTAATATTCATTCATGTGAATATAGAGGTAAAACTTCTGAATATAGGCATCAGCAATCCACCAATAGAAACTTCAAACAGACTAAAGACAAAAATTAAAAACCAGACAAAATCAATTTAAGTTTTTGATAGAAACTTCAAATAAGTAATGTCAAAAATCGATCAATAGAGATCCGTTTATTGATTTCGGTCGTACGTCGAAAACCGTATATCGATTCATTAATAACGCTGCAAACATAATACTGCATGTTTACAATAATAAATAGGTAATAATTCCAAGAATATACGAGATAGACTTAACAGATTAATTTTATGATTTATTATTGTTAGTTTACTCGTCATTAACGAGGATACGTCATAATAATTATACAACATTATTTATAACGAACCAGATAACCTAACCTAACCTATAACATTTAACCGTAACCTGAAACCTTTCAGTGAACTCACTGCTGGCAATAACAATTAACTATTTCCGTTTTTCCAACACTTAGACACTAAACAAGCATGCTTCATTAAATAAACTCGTTTTAAAAACGTATTTTTTAGAAAAAAAAAGAAAAGAAATAGATTAACGAACTCCTATAGACTTTGCGCGGGAAAAATACAGATAATATCACCTACGTTCTTTTTTTTTCTTTGAAGCTGAATGCAAATTTATTTATTGTCTACTTCCATCAACGTTATTTGTTTAGTTGACAGCGTAGCTCGTTAATAAGATAATTTTGACTTCAAAAACGTTCTAACTTTGTTCATGAGTGCAGAAAAAAATCAAGATAACGTTAATTCACACTTGATTTTCACATCTCTGAGGCCTTAGTACGAGTTTGTTTTACGTTTAAAGTAATCGTAACGAGTACGCGTTCGGCGCTCTGATTGGTTGGTTCATTGGCGCCGGCCAATCAGAGTGCCGAACGTGAACTCGTTACGAATACTTTAAACGTAAATTAAACTCATACTAAGGCCTCAGGGCTTGCGTATTGACAAACACATTGCGCAGTTGTCATTCAAAGACAAAACGTAAACGTCAACCACACATGTCACTCCTGTTACATAAACGTCGCAGATTTTCTTGAAATGTTATGTAAGCAACACGTTTAATGTCGCATGTTAGGCAAGGTCTGGTAGTGTCATTATAATGACTTTACGATCAGCTGTTGTAGCCGTGCCTTTACAGGAGCGCCACCGTTCTTGCAATGAGATAACGATTACGAGCGATGCTAATAGAGCTATTAAGATTAACATGTTGCTACACGGCCGATAAACGTCATTATCGTTGCATTAATAAAGCTACATGAATGATATATAATGCATAGATGATCCATCTGGTCGTATCGATAATAACATAGTATAAAGAACACACAGTAGGTTATCTAAGGCCGCCCGCCGAGTTATTAGCCTACTCTTGCGTTGATCCCCAGGGTTGTCACTTTTACTTTTAGTTAATATTTTCGAACAAGCAGCACTTGATCTAAATTTATGAAATGAAAAGCATATTATAATTTACTATTTTATCAATTTATAAATTTAGTAAAAATAAAAAGCTTATAAAAAGATTATTAACTTCTTAAAATAAACTTTAGCTCTATACATAGTATTCAGAAAGTAAATTTTGGAATACATTTATATGGAAAAATGCGACACGGCCACGCTCTTAACAAATCAGATAAACTGTGAAATAAACAATACAATACCACATTTTCTTATAATATTTAAGTATAGTAGGTAATTACATTTCTGGTTGAGTAGGAACTATGAAGAATGATAAGAGTAAGAATAAGTAAGTAGGTATCTCATCATCAAGTACCTACAAATTATATTATGCTAGAAAAAGTGACTAGCTTACCTTTCCTGTTCAATAGGTAATCTGAACAGAGACAGTTCTGGAATCGATTAATTATTAAGATACCCAAACACACAGCAATACGTTCTTCTACGGTTATCAGACATTTTTTATTTCATTTAACAGTGCCGAAAAGTGATGCGCGCGCGAACCTCGTGCAGTGTTAGCCCTGCCTGGCGCACTGAGAAACGGGTCGAGATTTTGTTAAAGTGTGCGTGCGTCGACGCATAGATACTATGGCGCACACATATAAGCCGCGCGCGGAGCATTTGTATGAAGATAACCTACTCTGTTCTTTATACTATGATAATAACTACTAACTTAAATTAATGGCTAATACTATTTAAAGATGGCGATTTCATCATTGTGGTGCAATATACCTATTTATTCCATCTTCATCTATAAGGTTTCTGCCGCTAGTATTTACATAAATATACACTTATTGACAGATCGGGTCAAAACATTTAAAAAATAAATAAATTATACATATTACCTAAACGTATTAACTTATTTTAAAATGTTAATGAACTTAGTTTTAAAGTTAATTTCGAAAAATATTCTACTAGAGAGATTCATAGGAGATAAAATAACTGTCTAAAGAAGATATGAAAATTCTGTTGTTGAAAGCTGAATAGGTTTTTACTACATTCTTCCTAGTATGCAAAATGAAGTTTAGATAATAAACACGCCTTTATAAGTAACGGACTATGCAAAATTGTAGATACTGTCTGTCAATCCAAGTGAGCACTTCTTGAAGAGCTTAATCTTGTAAGGAGACTATTCTAGAATAATTTTGCCATTGTACCGTATGGACGAGATATAAGTCTGATACTTGTTTTCCCCATATTTACATGATTGTTAAGCTATCTGTATGATACTTTAAAATTTTAAATGTTTGAATCGTTGTTACTCCATTACATCAAAAAGACTAAACAACGCAATGATTTAAGTCATAGATTGTCTGGCATAAATAAAATGTACGATTTCATCGCGTATAGAAAAGCTAACGTCAAGTAAAATGTTTCTTCGTACTAATCTTTATTCTTTTATTTTGTTGACAGTTTCGGTTTATACCACGACACTGAGAAAATAGGCTGCCATCGACGTGAAGGTTCGACGCTGCACATCATGACGCCAATCTTTGAATCCGACACCGTTCAGGTGGCCTGGTCGAGGTGCAGCAAACGTGACGTCACCAACTTTTTAGAGTAAGTCTTTGATACATCGATAAACGTAGTCTTAATAGATATTTGTTTAGGTCAAAGTTTCAAATCATCTTTAGTATTAACTCGTCGAGTACCGGTTTTATAGACACAATTAAAGAACAATAGGTCGCGGTCACCGGTGACCGCTTGGTGTTTGACAGATTAAGTACCCATTAATCAAAAGTATTTCTTAAGTATTATAAACTCTGTTCAAAGAACCGCAACAATGTTCGAACACTTATTTGTTATATTTATGGCACCTAAGCTAACGAGTTTGTACCGTTTTACTTTAAAGGTACTTACTTTTCCTTATTACATTGACTCATTCGACACCGTCTTTAGTGTAAATTGCGAAAAGCTTTTAAGTCTTTTCGTTTATTTATTTTACTTCATAACCGTTAAATAGGTGCTGATCATAATACACGCTCATTATGTACTGTGTGGCTACCTTATTTACTGAATGGTCACGCCTTTTCCGTAGTGGACTCATTGAGTATTTCTATACTCATTGTGTCTACCGCAAATTCAACATAATTCAATCCGACATTTGCACATGAAAGTGACTCGTCTTTGCATAATACTGTCATTACTAGCACACTGTATAAAATGTTTTATAGTCCCAATAAAATTGAAAGCAGAAATCCTACGCAGACATAAATAACGATCGAAATCTAATGGCGGACGTCGTTATGTTAGAACTCGAAAAACTAATTATTAAATGGCGCAACGGATTCTATCAGTTAAAATGTCATGAGATATTCATTCTAACACGCGCCCAACTTATTTGTCATCATCAGAAAGGCTAATCACCATAAAGATTCAAATTATGGCACTTCTATAATGAATTAAATAAGTATTCCGTGATGAATAGAATTATAAACGGAGGCTGTTAAAAAATTGATGGTTCTGAATGTGACATGTTTATTGCACGTCGACGTCTGCCAAGGACCGGGCGCTTGTGAAACCGGCGCATGCGTTTATAGAGCCACATTCGCTATTCGTACGCACAAATCATTGTAAAATGTGTAAACGCGCTCGTAATTGTGCGAAATGTTCTGAAATGGATCCAGTAGGCGCGGCCGCAGTTCTGCTTCATCTGTTATTTGCTCGACTACGTAGAAAACGTATTGTGCTACAATTTTATGGTCGATTATTTCCTAATCCAGCTCAAATGAACTCAACTCTGAATAACGTTCAACGGTTTTACACGTCTCTGCATTTAATAAAACTTTATATTTTCTATTAGAAAAAAACGCAATATTTTATTTATTTTCATTTCCTAGTCCCTTACAAAAATGTGTGTTTTGTTTCAGTGCGGGATTGGGCGAATGCCTAAGCGATCGGCCTGCTCAAGAGCCATCGTATGTTTACCCCAAAGATCCTGCCGGTAAGCCTTCACTTCCTTTGTGGTTAAACTTTAAAGGTAAATATTTATCTTCATATTTTATTTACTGTTATTTCCGTGTTCAGGTGTAACGTTCGACGCGGCAAGTCAATGCCACTTACAGTTCGGTGCGGAAGCTGTCGTGTGTGCGAAACCAACAGAGTTGTGTGAACATCTGTGGTGCCTAGTGAACAACACGTGCAAGACTATGCTGCGCCCCGCCGCGCCAGGAACCACTTGTGGACCCGATATGGTGAGACGATTAGACACGCAGGAAACTCTTTGAAGTTTTTCTACTGACGGCCATTTTAAAGAGTGGGTTTTTAGCTTGCTTCTTGGGGTTTTACAGTACTTAGAATCAAATCATCCAAGAAAATCTGGAGTGGTCATATTCTATTAATATTACAAGTAAATGATATAATAAATCTCGGAACATCTTAGGATTTAGGCCACTTCAAAATGATTGAGATCGCGCCTATGATGATCAATGTGCCAAATAATCTACACAAGAATTTTTTGCAATACGTTTCCTATGAAGTCTCTAACGGATCTTTTTATGTCTTAGTGGTGTCAAAACCAGACCTGTGTTCCTCGTACTCCGTCACCGAAACCTCGAAACGGCGAATGGGGCCCATGGTCTGAATGGAGCGAATGTTCTCGAACGTGTGGTGCCGGGGTGTCCACACAGTCGCGCGAGTGCAACAACCCAGAACCCAACAACAATGGCAACTACTGTATTGGAGATAGAAGCCGGTGAGTTTCTACTAATGACTGCCATTCAGCTTTACTGTTTTAAACTACTTCTTTTCTAGGCCTTTGTCTAAGAGTCTATTTTTAGTTTAACACATTATCTATGTAGGTTAGACTGAAGATCAGAAGACGGTCTTTATAGAAGTATTTTAATAAAAAGAGTTTATTGAGTTCAGGATGCATTATTACATCTACATATTTTGGTATATATCAGATTTACTTATCTATTCTATTTTTACAGATACAAGGTCTGCAACACCGACCCCTGTCCTATCAACGAGCCCTCGTTCAGAGAAGTGCAGTGCTCCAAACATAACAATATGACATATGGAAACGAAACTATAGCCGAGTGGATACCTTACTACGATCAGGGTAAGTAAACCAGAGACATAAACATTTTATATGGACTTCCTTTAAGAATAAGATTAGTAATTGACGATACGAAACTCATTTCTGTATCAATGCGTATCGTAGATGCTAAAATTGAAAATCTAGCAATGATACAGGAAATATCACAATAAAATTTTATGTTTACAATCACGAGGCCACCAATATCGGATCGAAATAAACAGCAAGTTGTTAAACTGCACTAAAATATTGCCATAAATAAGAGACTATTAAATTGAATGTTGAATGCAGATATAAAGTTAATGGTGTGTTGTTACAGACAAACCTTGCGAACTACAATGCGTGCCTCGCGACGGCAGCGATGTGGAAATGTTAGGCGGGTTCGTCGCCGACGGCACTCCTTGTAGACAAAGCTTGGGGGCGCGGGACATGTGTATAGCCGGTAAGGACAGCACAATTATACCACTTGCATTATACATTACATGACTACTATACAATTTATCTAGCTAATATTTTCATTATAGTTAAGACTGTAATGAAAATGACTGTGCTTAATGCCAGGATTGACTTAGCCTTGAAGGTGACCAACATCAATTGCTCCTAATATTATGTTTTTTTAAGATAAAAACGAACTGGTCTCATATATTGGGTTCCAGTAACTCCAACCTAGATTTTCAGTCATGTCTATCATAGAACTTTAATATATTTTCTTAACGGCCAATCTGGCGGTAATACGCACCTCAAGTGTTGTATAAAACCGTCACAAAACAGCAATTAGGGCGCTGAACCGATTAAAACCCTTAATCGCTCAAACGTGCTCAGCGGTACCGCTATAAAACCTATACTAATCCAGCCGTTTCGAAATCTTGTAATGATGTCTATTGTTTTGGTCACTTAGTTTCACGTCTATTATACCATTTTAAAAATTGACCTTATTTCGCAGGTGTATGCTACAAAGTCGGTTGTGACTGGATAGTGGGATCGGAAACCGAAGAAGACAAATGTGGAGTTTGTGGCGGTAATGGATCGGCCTGCAAAACTGTGCAGGGCATTTACAGCAAAGGAACTACTAGACAATCTGGACTTAGCGAAGTAAGTATCAAAAGACCACGGAGTAATATTAGCTGTTTTACCAGTTTAATGTCTTATCATCAACAAGTATCCCATTAATATTAGTAACTGCCTTAAGATCTTACCTACAAACCTACTCATTAGAGACCCATAACCGTGAAGTTGTCATACAGATACTAATCAATTTCCTATCAACAGGTTGCAGTCATACCTGCCGGGTCAAGGAATGTGAAAATAGAAGAGAAAGTCAATCCAGGCAATTACATATCCATTGGCAGCGCGAAGTCCAATAAAATATACCTCACCGGAGCGAGGTAAGACAAGCAAATTAACGCAAGAAAACGTTTCTGTAAATTCCCAATGTCGGCCATTTTCCTAACCTACAAATTTTATTACAGAAATGCAACTTTGACGGAATACTTTGTAGCTGGAACTCAAGCTATTTACGAACGAGACCGTGATTGGGAGAAAGTACGGATCGTAGGTCCGCTCGCAGAAGACATCAAAGTTTATGTAAGTGAAATAGTACAATAACATTTTATGAGTAACAAGGTACATGCATTATGGTAATTTGTATTGTTATGTGTTCAATTCACCGTACAACACTGAACAGATATCGTGAAATCGATATTTAGGGGCGACAGGTTCCTTTCACCTATATCGATATGCTGTAAATAAAATACATGCCAATGCTGCATATAGTTTCCTACTTCACTTACCAAAACATTCTAACTCTTATGTATATTATTATTAAATCGTATTTGTATTTGCAGCAAAGAATATACCGCGGCAGGCATCGTAACCCTGGTGTGACGTACCAGTACACAGTGGACCAGCGCGTCCGTCGCCGGTACAAGTACCGCGTTTCTGAGTGGTCGGCTTGTTCTGTCACCTGTGGCGTTGGCTATATGAGGAGACATCACGAATGCGTCGATGAAAATAATCGTAAGTTGCTATCATTTGTCTTTCTGTCTCTCTAAATCTTTTCTAATGCGATTTTTCTGTATTTCTACTATGCAGAATGATACGGTCAAAATATCTGTACCGAACCCAACTATATCAGACCATTTAGCTTTTGATCATTTATATTAATATGACAATCGAAAATAATGGTTACTGAAGCGCGAGCGGCAAAACAACTTTACAAAATATGAATTAATTTAAAAGCACTATATTTGGCTTCTGAGTTCACTAGCCAAGATATTATATTAGTTTATATATTAGTAGCAAAGTTACTTACCTTCATGTAAATCCCACAGGTGCAGTAGAACAGTCCCTGTGTTACCATATCGAGTCGCCGCGCCACGAGGCCCTGATGCAGCAGTGTAGGCAGCCGGCCTGCCCTACTCAGCGAACACTTCACACACACTGGTGGGTGGGTGCCTGGAACCCGTGCTCCAAACCCTGTCACATGCCGGTATGTATCTGCGACACTTAACACACAATATATTTCAGTCTTAGAAATCCGCATTATTCACAAAAGTTCACGAAATACACAAATCATGTACAGATAATAACAAATTATTAAATTATTGAAACCTAGGTAGGTACGCAATAATTTAAGTGACAAAAGAAATATCATTGCAAACTATTTTACTTGAGTGCATAGAAGGAATAAATAAATCACAAAAGCGTCCCAAACGGAAACTTGTGTAAACTGGAAAAATATCACGACATTAAGCTCTATATTTTTTGTAACACATTATTATTTTTTTACATTACCAGTACGACATGGCATAAATTCTTTTACTTAGTTAGCACTTATAATTTGTTACAGGGCGAAGAAGCAATAAAACAGCGCGGCGTGTACTGCGTGGATAAAATAACAAACAAAGTGATAGACGACTCTGAATGCGACGTACTTACGAAACCAGTGAGCACAATCAAATGTGCAGACGTACCGGCTTGCTAATGGTGAAGATATCACGCACACATGGAATTGAATCCATAAGGAAACATCGATCAGTGATTTTATGATACACAATCATATTACACAGAGAAAAGTTTCAAGCATAGTGTTCACAACACTACGTCTCGTCGACACCCCGGGCGACAGCTCATACCTGCTCAGTCAGGACAGCAGACTATTCGCATCTGCCACCATTGAGCGAAATAGGGTTCAGAAAGGAACGCAGAAATATGATACCGAGACAAATGCATTTTTATAGGCAATGGTTGAAGTGAGACGTGAAGTGATAAAAGTCAGTGTAGGACTCTATCGAGCGACACTCGAATTGCGGAGTTGTGAGTGACTGAGCGCCAGTGTTTTGTACTTGTTACATATTCTTTGCAATATGACATAACCCATCGAATAGACATTAAATCAGTTACGTGTAAGTACTCGAATAGTACCCGAACGTGGTGACGTGCGAATCTCGCGAGTACATTCAACAATGCTCTGCAATTACCACTTACTGCCATATTATAAGTAATTAGTTAAACATAGTCTCTGTTTAGTTATTAACTACTAATAAATAATATTTTATATTCTGTAACATCAGTATTAAAGTGGTGTATGTATTTCTATAAAATAATGCAAATTAACGTAATGTGAACGAGTATAAGTATAATATAAAAAATTTTGGACCAAAAATATTTTAGAAATCAAATTCACGTTGCCATAATCATTTTTACTGCCAATATGACACTTGTATGATATAAGTAGGTATATACATAGGTCGTGTAATGTTATGTATTAATGGATGATTCATATTTTTGTACAAATGAATTATTGAGTATTGTGTTGTATTTAAGTGGTATAATTATAATATAAACGTACACATTGTTACGCTGGGTATCCAGAGCTGGAATCTGATCGCTTCTATTGCATACCTATAGACAATAAATAAATCAGCTAGTCAACAACTTAGGCATTTGTACACCAGGCTTTACACAGTTGTATTGTGTTTACATCCATATATCATTCGAATAACATAGAGTAGCATTAGAATGTAGAATTGTAGACCCTCTTACACTATGGACTAAGTACCTTTATATTAATTAGAAACGTACGTAAGGTTAACTTGTAAACATGTCTCCTCTCAAATAATTTGTGTGTATGAAAATATGGACTAAGTATATACAATTGTGCCTAATTCTGGAACAAATGTTTCGGTAATATTTATGAATATTTAAGAAGCATTGTTTATGTTCTCCTTTATGTGACTATGCATAATTTTAAATATTAGTAATACATTTATTTATCACGTAATTATTTTAAGTATATTAATATCAATGTGAAAAGTTTCCAGTCAACTGATGTTTCAGTTCTAAGATGCATCAGGGACGCGTCGATCGATTGATACACAATTCTAATTTTGTAATGTTTAAACCGCTTTAGAGAACTAACCTATGTGCACAGATTACTTATTAAATCAACTGTTTACATTTTTACTATCGATTGTAGGAAAATATTGTATTGTTCTATTTTACCAATTACAATTGTGTATGTAATAGATATGGCAATAAAATCGTGCATTGTTTTAAATATGTTTTTATTTTTGTTAATACAAAACTTATAACTTCTAATTCAATAATCCCAGCTAAAAATATAAATCACAGTTATAAAATATAGGCGAAATTAACTCTGGTCTTGCACCATGAATAATATTTTGAAAATTAAAACATAAAATCACATTTTGAAATTGAGTATCAGAAACGGAGCCAATCACATTTGAAAGACTAGTAGATAGAGAAAATACTTCAAAGTACTTACACATAAAAAATCAATTGTTCATAGAGAACTAGCTAATAATAGAAATCTAAATCATACAAATCAATCAATAAAAATATAGGAATACAAGCAAAAATAATATAGCTTATTTAACATTACACGGAATTATTTTGTGATAATATCATTCGAGTCAAAATTTATGGCGACGAGGTGAGGATAAGACAAAACAAACTGTATATTACAAATGGAAAAATTATGAACAGATTTTTGTCAAACATTGGTACCAATATACCAAGTTGGATCCTGGATGCCTATAGCAAATAGGTTATTTATCAGAAATTGAAGGAGGAACAAGGGATGTCAAGCGAGGGGCTATGAGTGTATTCAGCAGTGCGTCCACAGCCATCAGCCACGAAACGTATCTTGTAGATGATATTATGATGTTTTTTATGGAATAAGCCGGTAAACGAGCAAACGGATCACCTTATGGTAAGCAATCGGCGCCACCTATGGACACGCGAATTACCAAAGGCGTAACAAGTGCGTTACCGGCCTTTTGGGGATTAAGAATTTGAGAATTATTGGGGATTCGGGGTTGGGGAAATTAGGCAGGGGGGTAATTGAACCTTCGGTAAGCTCACTCACACGACGAAACACAACGCAAGTGTTGTTTGTTTCACGGCGGTTTTCTGTTAGGCCGTGGTATCACTCTGGTCGAGCCGGCCTATTCGTGCAGAACAGACCCGGTATGAAATTAATCGTTTAGTCAGATCTACACATCGCAACTGCTAATAAATTTTAACTCGAATGTACTAGAAACTTAACAGCTAAGCGATACATGAGCAGTCTAACTAATTACACGTACTAAAGATAAGTCTGAGCTACGACAAACATCTATTTACGTACAACGTACACCAATGCGATTATGAAATAAATACTTCAAATATGTGTAAACGAATCTACAATGCTTATTGCAGAATCTAAATTTTACACAGTGTACAGAAGCTAATCAACGTTTAATTTGTCAAATTTCTTTTAATAGTAAGATCTCACTTCAGTTGTATGATATTTGTACGAAAACTGTTATTTAAATAAAAAGATGTCACCTTTATCGCAAAGGATGCGCCTTTGCTATAATTAAGCATTAAATATACTTAGTCCAGAGAAGTTATAATATCCACTAATATCATACTCCTTTAATACTTGTAAAGTTGTAACAAATTCCAAGTAACATAAAATGAGTTTTTTCCCATTCATAATTCTAGAATTTTCGAAAACCGAAAATATTCAATAACTTCCCACAAGACCCTTTACTCGGTCGTGGTTGGAAAAGAACTTAATCGTTCTGTAACAAAGATGAGAATCTATTGAAGAACTTCATGTCGATCAAAATAATAACCCTCTTTTCACTTTAGTCAGGCAATAAGAGATACAATACAGACTAGAAATAGACTTTCATTACAAACCGTAGAGTCAAAAATCGATAGAACAATTTTAGAGACTTCCGTAAAATCATAAAACAAAGTTTATTACAAATCAATAGCGTCGAAAATCGATTAAAGAAATTTGACGAATCAGAGTTGGTGTGTGTGGTATAGAAGCAGAACAATACATATACATAAAATGTGGCTGCCTTCACAGTACCGCGTAAAAATATTTTTATTCACATAAATTGACATTTCTTAAAATAACGGTGATCAATATTTGAGTATTCTTTACTTTTAACCTATACACCTAGAGTAGGTACGAAAAACATACATACTAACATAATAATTATGTTTTTTTATAAAACAAAGTCATACATATAGTCAAAAGGATATGATACTAGCATAATCCAAATACCTAATCTTAAACTATAATAAAAATAATAAAAATCTCACAGATCTTTTTCCGTTTATTTCGGTTTTTATAACATTTAAATTTTATTAAAAATACGTATAAATCTTTTGATTAACCTGTACCGGAACTCGAATCTTTTACTAGTAAAGCTTCTGACGAAACATCGAAACGAATGTTTTTCTTTTTTGTGGTATTTTTCTGTAAGAGAACAAATAAAAGTTTCAGACCACAACCTGGAATGAAAAAGAAATAACACGTTTGTCGCGATGCCATAACTGGTTTTACATTTTCTGCGAATCTAAAATAGTAGTTGGCTGAAATAGAATAGCTGTAACTGTCAAAAATATACCCCATGGTTTGACACTAGCTAAGCATTTATTAGACTTCAGCGTCATTTAATAAGCAAAAAACCGTAGTCGCTCAATATACTCGAATTCAGCTTACCTTGTCTTTATGGGCTCTAGGGTCAGTATTCTTGGAGCGTTCCTTCTCCAGGTCTGTGTGTAGCGTAGCCAGCTCTGCAGTCAGCTCGGCCTGCACCGACCGCAGTCGCTCCACCTCTATTAACACTTCTGCTTTGTCTTTCACTGGAATTCATAATAACACGTATTTAAATCCCCGAACAAGAATTGAACAGAAGAATTATTAATTAAGTATGGTCTTAACAAGCATTTGTAATTTTCACAAGTTTAACTTATACATCTTGAGAAAGCTTTATGACTTAAATTCCTTATAAGTACTAAGGCTCATTTCAAATAGATCACTTGAAGTAATAGACAAACTACAGCTGGTTTTTATCGTATAATAACAACTGAAGGACGACAAGGGCCCAAGTACCAAACGCTACAGTGGCGCCATCTACTAAGACTAAAAACGATGCTTACCATAAACACAAACTCCTTAAACTGATCACAATTTGCGTCAATTCCACGATTGAATTATTATTAATCTATATTATTGAAGATATAATATTGAAGAATTATTAATCTACTAAAAAAATGCAAAAATCATCATCATATCAGCCATAGAACGTCCACTGCAAAACATAGACCTCCCCCAATGACTTCCAGATAGGCCGGTTGGATGCGACCTGCATCCAGCGGCTCCCTGCGATGTCAATCAGGTAGTCTGTCCACCTTGCGGGTGGACATCCTACGCTGCGCTTGCCGGTAAGTTGAAGTGTCAGTGGGCAAGGCCCATAGCGCGGAGAGCCGACGGCCGCTGGGGCAGAAAGGTTCTCGAATGCAAAAACAACAATAAATATTTAAAAACTTACTCTCTCCTTGTCCAAGTATATTACACAGCTTCTTGTTTCTGGATTTCACCGTGAAAAGTTCATGTTTGAGGTTTTCAACCTCTTCCTTCAGTGTTGCTATCTCCTGGTCCTTTCTCTCCAATGCGTCAGTAAATTGTAATCTGGTAATAACTTCATTACTTATTGGAGGTGGTACCCTGGGCTTGTCAACGACTTTTTCCTTTAAAAGTTCTTTCTTAGTCTCAGCTTTAACTCTGTCGAAAAACCCTGGATCCTTACCGGGAGACTTTGGAACTTCCTGCACACACTTCTCATTAACATGGGGTGGTACTGAAAATTGAAAATTAAGAACATGGAAAATATTGTTAAACGTTAAGTAATCGTTTCGGATAGCTGCTAATTAAAATATGGGAGAAGTTGGTTCTACAGCCAAATATAGCAGATTCCCTAAAGAAAACTAAAGCTTTAGTGTAGCCTGGGATCAAACCGATAATAACCCCTTGCCGTATTGTTCGACTGTAAACGCAGTACAGCGCTTTGGGGTGCGCACCGAGAAGGTAAGAGCATGAATGTGTATTCCCAATATAAAGTTGAACTTCGGATCGGTTTGACAGAGCTCGTTGACCACTCACCGCGCGCGTTCTTCCCGAGGTATCAACTCAAACAATAGTGACCACTAGTCCAAAGAGGTAATACACCTTTGCCTACATGCTTAGCTCCTCCTAAATACTAAGCGTATTATTTTAATAAAATCAACTCACATTTCAATTCCTCTCCAGCATTCACCATGTCATTGAACTGGTCCAGGCTCATGACATTTTTTTTCTTTAGTTTCTTAGCTTCTTGCTTGCTTAGCTCACTAATCGTTTCCTCAAATTCTGCACTCTCCTTAGTTTGTAGGTATACTCTTCCTTCCTCCTTTTCAAAATCAAGCTTTGATAGTAATATAGCCTAGAAATATATCTTAACATTTAATGCATGCAGATCTAAAAAAACCCTTCAGCCATTTGCCATTTGCATTTGCCTTGTTTAATAAAATGTTATACTGACTTCTCGCCTGCAACTTTGTTCACATATTATGTCCAAATACTCAAATGCTACTCAATTTTAAATCGCGCTTAAGTATAGTCCTGTCACTACAAATTCTTTGTTGAATGACAGAGATGGCACGATATTTGAGTACAACTTAAAATTGAGTAGTCTACCTAGTCTACATAGTCTATAGACTATGGCCGTTTTCACCAATTTACAGATACTATACAGAAACAATTTACTTATAGGTTGGGGTATACCAAAATATTGGTCAATGTCACCAGTCTTAGCGGTTTTTTTAAAAAGGAGGTGAAAACGGGTATGTGTGACTTTATGACCTGTAGGTATAAATATTACCGCTTTTTTCCCTCTACCAATTTCTAAGTTACAAACTAAGTTGATGTAACTTTCTTTTTAAAACAAAAATTTAATCCCAATGCCCGCTTCACCCGTGTAGATAAGAAATTTCCAACAATTATATCATAAACTTCATATCAACTTTTCATCCCTTATTCGCCCATTTAATTTTACTTTCCATGGAACAAATTGTATAGAACAAACACGTTTCTGAGTGTTAATTTTCTTCTATCGGATGTTTTAGATGACCTACTAAGAACTTAAGAACCCACTAAGAATATGCACTTATGGTAAATTCTGAGGGCTGATATAAAACAAAATCTAGACAGAAACTATAAATAAAATTTTCAGACACAAAATTTTATCAAAATCTTTTCACTGGTTTAAACAAACATGCAAGAATAAAAAAAATACATGTAATATAATAAAAACACACACATTCGCAATCATTATATTAAAATAATTGAGAAAACTCTATCCAACCCAGAAGATATTCTAGTATTAAAATAAAAAAAAATTTGCATATAATAAAATGCCTAATATTCCTGAAAAGGAATGCACAAAAGGACACGTAAGCCATAATAACTCTTTTCAACCTTTATCACTTATCAGTAGTATGTTATATTTGGCTTGTCTCTTAATATAATTTTGACATTATTGAATGATATATTGCACTTGAATGCGTCTTCTGAATTGGACAAGTTTTCTGCACCGTATTTCCTTTTCGTCCCGAAGGAAAATGGTTTTGTCTTGGTAATACAATAGTTTTACAAAGAAATAAAATGTTTAAAATAACTGGTGAAACGTTGCAAAAAGCAAACTTCGAAAGCGCATACACACTCAGTATCAGTACATCATCAACAAGCCATATGATTCTCGAAGAGGTATTTCTCGTCGGGTGGCAAGTACGATGCGAATAGTGCCTACGTACTCCTTATAGCAAGTAATTTTGCCTCGGGACGAAAATGAAATAAATTTCACGGTGTATATTACATATGAAGAATAGTAATAATAATTGTGTAAACTCTTTCTAAAATCTTCATACAAACTTTAAGAATATTAAGTTGAATTCTTAATATTTTGTGTATTGCGCAACAGCCATTCCTATTATGAAGAAATATGTATTTATTAAATCGCCAGCAATTTGCTATAGAAGTATTTAACTGTTATTTTTAGTACAATCAGCTTTAAAAAGGTTTCAACAACATCTTTGAATATTTTGCACACATGTCAGTCATTTGGATTTGTTATATTTTCTTTACAAAATTGGAAACTTGATTTTGCCTTTAATTTTTTAATTTAATTAGACCAGCTAAATGGTTCACTTCGATTTTTTGTGTTATATTATCAGGAAAGTTTTCTCATGAAGAAGCTGCAATGCTCCATTGGTGCAGTGGCTGGGCAACTGGCTGCTATGCAACGTGTCTCGAATTCGAATTTCGCGACACGGTACACACTTAAAAGTGTGGGTCAATATTTTAAAAAGATAAAAATTTAAATGCGTATAGTGGGAAGAAAACATTTGTAGTCAAACACAAAGTCTGTATTTCAAGACTACAAAATGTCTGATGTTAGACAAGGAAAGAAAACATTTTAGTTCACAATAATTGCCCTCACCCTCCTACAATCAATGTTCTAAATATAGTAAGCAATTTACTCAACAAATAGGTAAAATCAATATCTTGCAGTCTATTGAACATGTCATATTGTAAAAGGTCACAAATGGAAGGAAATTGTTATTGGAACTGATTGAAACTGACAGCAAGGTCTTGACAGCGAGCCATTAATATGCAGCATTCAATTTGTTATTGAAAGCCGGAAATGATGCAACGGCTGCAACTATGGAACAAAATTTCCATCTCAGAATACTATTGTAACGGTTTCATCGTTGAAAGATAGTTTGTAGCCACTGAACAATATGCTTTGTTCGCACTATGCTAGTATTTTAGTCAAGTAACAAGTATTTAGTAACTCTCTCTCGCTTCGATTTTGGAACAGATCTGGTAAACACTTGCTGCTCGACTAGAATACTATCATAGTGCGAACAAGGCAATGAGAAGAAGCTCAGTGTGTAGACTCATTTCATTAAAAAATATACACACATGCAAATACTTGAGAGCTATTTCACTCACTAATGAAAACATGTTTTTATTTAGTTTACCTACATTTGTTTACAGCAATAAAATAAAATAAAAAAATAAGTGAAGTTCTTGAAATAAATGTACCAAATACTTGTAAGTAAATCAATATTACATTGTCACCTATATCTTGGTAAAAGTTTAATACCCAAGTACTTATATGCAAATAAAGATAAGAATAAAATCAAGAGAACATTCTGATTCTCTGAAGTGGTGGTTCAATAAGCATTTTGTGTAGACAAACTTACACCACAACTTAAATCATCATTAAACTAACCTACTGAAGAAAATATAAGACAAATATTAGCAAAGCAGAAACAACAAGCAAAATATCATAATATATATTTGAGATAAGTAAGTTACCTTTTACAAATAATAAAAAGGGTTATTATTAATAAGTTACGAGAGATTTGATAATTGTACAATGTTTATTGTCAGTGTGTTAAAGTTTAAATGTACCTAGTTTCATTTTATATTTTTACGATGCTTTTAGACCTCTATTATAAAATAATGAAAATATGAATTCCTAGTTATAAGATTTGTTAAAAAGAGTTTACACAATACAAAGAGATTGTATCAATACACATAGCAAACAATATAGAAAGAAATTGTAATATGCTAGTAAATTACAAGTGAATGGTGCACAATAATGTTTGTTATAGAACTTACTTGCTGTAGTTCATCCTCAAAATGGCCAACCACCATTTCTTCATCCTTCTGTTTCCACAGTTCCCACTGATCGGCAGATACTTGTTGTGGTTTAGACTTCTTCTTTTTTGGTCCAGGCTACAAGTCACATATTTTTAGCACGACAATAAGTAATATTTAATTAATGATGATGAACAATCTGATAGTAAAACCATGTTTCTTATTAATTCCATGCTTTTATAAGAATCTTCTTAGAAACTTACCTGGGGTTTATTTGTAACATTTTTTTGCTTCTTTGGAGGTTCAGTCTTTTTAGTGTTGTTCACTTTCGACTTTTTAGACTTCTGATTTTCGGTGGGAGGGTAGTCGTCATCCTCGATCTTCAGACCGGCAAACCGAGATTGTACGACCAATTGAGCCATTTTACGATATTGGATCTGTTAGTAAATAATAATAACAAATATTACAGCACTAATATATTTCAAATAATAATGGGCTGATTAAAATAATTTTGGCGTAAATAAACATAAACCAACATCCAATTAGACTATCTCAAAAAAAATAGACGAATCAGTTTACATAGGACAATGTACTGCACCCATAAAACGCGGATTTTTATTTACTTTCACTTACCTATTGGAAATTAATGGGAAATCGAATGATCTGTTTTTCTGTAACAAATAAACTCCCAGAAAGCGGCGATAGGGAAATCCAACGGATTAGACAGCTGAAGGCTGAAGCTGCCGACAAACGTGTGATTGCCAGATTAGAAAAAATAAAAAATCAATAAACAATAAATAAACCGATAAATAGAGTTGATCTTACCTGAAATTAAATGATCAGTAGCTACGGAATGAAAAATCATTTACAGTAAATAATATTTGTTTATTAGCCCTTAGGGATACAGATGGGGCCCAGTAGGGCTGATGCCCGATGTAGAGCCGCGGAAGGCCTAACAGGTTGCCGGGGCTCCGGCTTGACCAGGAGTAGGAGCGGTGTGATTTTCAGTCAGTAAGAGTCTGACACTCCCTCTCGCCTAACCATAGATATTATCATATCAGTGCGCCTAACCCATGGCGAAAGAAGCCATACATGATTTCCACCTGAAAAAAGCCGTTAGGGATGTGGAGTTTAATAAGTTCCGCTATCAATATCCGTTAAATTGACAATCGATCTATTACACGCTCAAAACAACTATATTATAACGTAAACGATTTAAGCTACATACAGGACTTCTAAAACATCACTGGTTGCTATTTATCTCAAAGATTCAATTATATTTATTTAGGATTAGTATTGTATTTCAATTTTATTAAAAATCAATTACAAATGTTTGATGTTGATATTATTATATGACCATAATGACTGATTTAACGATTTTTATCGGTTTCTTTCCTACTAATTCTAAGTTGTCTGACATCTGTGACAGTGACATTTTGCTGACTGATTATGATTTGTTTAATGACAATCGACAAATGTCAGATTGGCGGATTGGCGGCATTGGCATTGGCACGTTTGTTTTTGTGTCAGTTTTTATAAGTTGTTTTAAAATATTTAACCATGAAATTACACTGCCAAATAGAAGTTATCAATAGATTACACAGTACTTTAAATATAAGATCTAGTGGCAAATATTTAAAATCTACTCTGGCTCTGATAAAGGAACCGAAAAGCGAAGCGGAATATAGTCTGCTACTATTTTCAACTGTGAACAAAACTGGCACAAAATATCGTGTTAAATCTGTGAAGCAAATGTTTATAAAGTTCATAAATGAAGGCAAAGCCACCATACGCTTCGAAGAACCACCTCATGACTTATGTATCAAATGTGAACACATACAATTGAAATGTTTCGTAAAACTGCTTAGGTCGTGCATCGCCGGTGATACAAAGAGCATAAATTTAGCAAAATTATCTAGTGTAGCCGTAACGCATAAAGAATCCCCTACAAAATTGGTAATACGTGATCGGAGTGCTTTCCCTAACAAAGGATTCCCAAGAACGTTGGAATTTCTTACTATAAGTGGACTTAACCTTTGCAATTTCAGAAGAGACATTTTATTATTAAAACAACTTGTTGTACTTGATCTCAGTAACAATGTCATTGAACACATACCACCAGAATTCGGTAAGTATAGGTATAGGGTGCCGTCAACTGTGACTGGTCAGCTCCAGACTGTATTATTTATTTTTCTTATAATAAGTCTTTAACTCGTCGAGTACCGGTTTTATAGACACAATTGAAGAACAATAGGTCGCGGTCACCGGTGACCGCTTGGTGCTTGACAGATTAAGGGTTATTTTCTTTCTCGATCTCTTTGGCTAGATTTGGTGTTACATGGTTCTCGCACAATCAAACCAATAAAACTGTGTAACTGAAGAATTGTATTGTGAAACTGATTGGAAAAGAGTAACCTATGCAGTTTCTTGCTCGTTCTTCTCCATAGGAATCTACTCCTTGGAATGAGCAAATAGCTTCACTTTTAAATTTCTATTGCTGACGTTAAAAAGTGCCTTCCTGGTCTAATTGAAATAAATGATTTTTGACTTTTGACTTTTTCAAATTAAATAAATTAGAATTTAAGGTGTCATGAATTGTTTTATTCAATTTTTCTTTTCTTTATTACATTTACAGGAGACATGCCCAATTTAGCTGAATTAAATTTGGCTAATAATAAACTCGGAGTAAAAGGAGTAATAGATTGGAGATGGTTATTACGTCTTCAGGTAATAAAACAGATTTATCAGCAACATAAAATAAAAAAAGCTTGTTAATCCCTAGTTTTGTTTGTTTTCTTTTTTATTTATTAGTTACTTATTTCGTTTTAAAGATCCAGGAAGCACACACATTATACAATATAAAAATTTATGAAACTACTGAAATGATTTCATTCACAGGTTAAGAATAAGCTAAAACTGTTGGAATTAAGTGGAAATGAATTAAAATACTTGCCAAAATCAATATGGAAATTACAGAGTCTAGTTACTCTGAAGGTGGATAATAATTTGTTGGAACATCTGCCAAACACTATTGGACGCATGAACAATCTTAGGTGAGCCTGTTAGCCCTTCATTGGTGCCCGGTTATACTTGATTTCTTTTGTAACTTAAGTAACCTATGCAATAGTTTCATATCCTCATAGAGGTATGGTAGAAGTCATTTGCGAATTTTTTAAGGCAGAATTGACAACCATCCACTTCAAGCTTGTTTTATGCCAAACTCGTCTGAAAACCTTTTCCAATCTCTGTGACCAACTTGGATAGAGACTAACTATCCACATCTTGCTTGCTTTTAACCCATAGATCCCCAAGCGGTCACCGGTGACCACTCTCCACTAAAATTTAGGGGATGGATTTGGGGATGGGTTAATTAACTTTTAAACTTAAACACTAACCATACTCCTTGTTTTAGGTACCTCACAATAGCTCTGAACAAACTCACATCACTACCATGCAGTATGCTCCAACTCCGCCTGGATTACATAGATGTCTCAGATAACAAACTAAATGATAGAGATACAGAACAATCAAAAATGGTTAAAAGGAATCCCTGGGAAATGTATGTTAACAGTTTAGTAGACATAGCAGCCAGAGTTGTTGTAAAACAGAAAATTACTTATGCTCCTAATACTATTCCATGGACCTTGGTAGAATACTTAGATGATGCCAACTCATGTGTTTGTGGAGAACCCGTCATGAATAAAGAACATTATAGCTTTAAAGAGTACCAATTAAAATATTATTGTCATGTTGTAGTGTCAGATGAGAACAGGAAGGGTACTGTGTCATTCCTATGCTATTACTGCTCGCCTAAATGTATGTGATATAATAAAAGTATTAAGTTAAACAATAAAATAAAATATTTATTGATAAATGTGCTTTCATTTTATGATTATAAATTAATTAAGACCTTCAAGCTTCCAACTGATGTCAGTGATAACTGGAGCTATTCTTATATGTGGATCTGAAAGAAAAAGCATTATAATGTAAGCCTGTGATGACGTATGTAACACATAAACTACTATTTATGTAGGTATATTGTTCTAACTCACCAAGTGAGGCAATCCCTTGTGGTATTATGCTTTGTCCCTCTGGAACATTCTGTGCAGCTATAGACGCGTTCGTCGCTTCTATTACAAATTCATTTGTCCAGATATCTTTGAAACTGTCCTTCATTTCTTTCAACAGTTTCTCCAAAGATGTCTGTAGATAGATACACAATTTGTTAGATATTTGTCTTCCTAATAAAATTACTTACGGTTACGGCTTAGAAGAGTAACTCTTCTAAAACTGAGTCCCGTTTTAGCAGCATAAGGCAGAGTAGAAATCAAATCCAAGTTGGTTCCTGTTCAAGCTATAGGTACCTACATATTTGCTATGGCTAATCCTCTACTAGTCACACTCGTTCATTACAAACATAGACCTAATAACATGTTAGACTAGACCAAAGATTTACTACAAGAAAAAACGAACTTTACCTGCAAAATATAAGCTTCCTTGTCTTTACTAAAATAGCTGAGAGCTATAACTAACTCTTTAACTGACAATCTCAGTTCGTATGTAGCCGTAACTAGAGTATGCAAAGCCATGACTAATGCAACGTCTTCATACTGAGATCCTTCTTTCAGTGATGCCACCTTGCGCTCGTGTTTTCTTCTATTCTTGCTTGATCGGAAGGATCGGCTGTAACAAAATAAATTGAAATACATAATTATATAGTTAAAACTAGGTAGAATAAGGTTGACTGGTAGAGAATGCCATATGGCATTAAGTTCGACTTATGTGCCGTAATAAAATTTTGTACATAAAAGAATAAATAAAAAAATAGAATAGTAAGTAGATGCAAATGTGACTGCTAAGCCAAGGGCCTTACTTAGGTTCGACTCACGGTTCGGACAATTTATTACTGGACTTTTTTGATTTTAGTTAGTTTGGATTTTTCTGATCTTGTTACTAACTCATTTACTATATAGGATTTGTAACATAACTGGTAAAGAGTAGGTTTAACACTATAAATATGTGCATTGTAGAACTCTGAAGAAAAACTCCTTATACTACCTACTTTAAATAGAGTAGCTAGGCGCTTCACTGCCAGGCAGACGGACGGACAATTCAATTATTGACATTTCAAAAGTGCCTAATTAAGGACTAATTGAAATAAATGCTTTGACTTTTGACTTTGACTTTGAAATTATATTTATTACCAAAGACTGCATCCGATCTAGGTAGTATCAAATGGTAAAATAACTGACTTACGTGGAACCCCTAGACGAGGCGACGGTGCTTCCAGCATCTGAATATAAGTCACTATCCTTATTGGCGTAAAAGTCGAATGTGTCTACAGGGTGCTTCGTTTTATTTTCCCTTACGACTTGAAGACGCTCCCGATGCCTTATAAACATTGCGTAGTTTGTCTCAATTAATTCTCTAGTATTGTTGTATTCTTCTCTCAACGCTGGTAGTAGTTTCTCTTCTAAACATTGAAATAAACTTGAAATAAGTACCTAAACATTTAGGTAGAAATACTACCTTTCGGAATTACTAAACGATAATTAAATAGTTATTTGGTTCATGGTAAGATAAGTTATTATAAAATGCAACTAATACAAACCTTCCAGATTTAACTTATTGTATTTCGAGCAGAGCCTTATTGCTGTTTTATATTGCGCACATTCAATTGCGTAAGAAATCGTTAGGTCGCTGTTGCCATAAAACTGATCTAATATCGTCAATGCTTCCTTGTGACGCTTCTCTTGTTTTAAAGCTTCCACCAGATCCCTAAAACCAAATTATCACTTATTTAACTCCTTGTTCCAATAAAATAAAGCATAACTAAGTCATCTAAAAATATACCAGCACAACTCCTTGAACTGTTCTTCAGGCCATGACTGCGCCAAATTAATCGCCAATTCCCATTCAACAGCTTCTTTATAGCATTCGATAGCCTTATCCAAACAATTGGCCCTTTCATAAACAATACCAGCTGCTGTGTACTGCTTTTTCAATTTCAAATACAGGCCAAAATCTTCGGATATCTCTTGAAATATTTCGTCAGTAGGCGAAAACAAGGCCAGCGCTTCTCTGTACAAGCTGTGATACTTCACAAATGTTTTTAATTCATTATGCCTACTGGCACCACATAAAACAAGACTTTCCACAGCTCTATCGAACCTTTTCAAGTGTTTATTAATTGTGAATCTCTTGTAATTTTCTTCCATTTCATTTAACTCATCAAGCATTGGAACATATTCTTTTGGATCTTTCTGTGACTTGTAAGCTACCAATAGAACTAAGTCAAAGTCATACATTCCTAATGCAACATCAAACAATTGATTCACATCAACCATGTACAGAAGGTATTTCAAAGCTTCATCAGACCCAACAGGCAACTTTGATCCACCAGATTCTTGAACCTTCAACTCCTTTATGATCAACAAAGCACTTTCCAAGTCCTTTATTGTATTTTTCTTCACAAATGTTGTAAGTAAAGGCAATATTTTAGTTTCCTTATCAGACCTCTTCTTCAAATACTTTCTAACAATATCACATATTTTCTGTACCTTACCATCTATTTCGCTTTTAGGCTTTTCTGGTTTACCAGCATAACTGCTTGAGTACATGGTTTTTGTAACATCTGAGTTTTCTAAGTCAGACAAGAAGAGATTCAGCCATGAGATGTTTTTCACTGAGTCCAGGAATACTTCAATGTGTTTCACAAACTTTTCTGGATCATGGTCATAAATGAGGTTCAAATTAATTCTCTGTTTCCTCATAAGATCGAAGGCTTCGTGATACTGAAGGCGATCCAGGAATTCTCCAATAATCTTCAAGGACAAAGGCCTTGGCTGAATAGTTTCAAGGTTTCCTCTTGGCATTTGGAATACAGTTCTTGTGTCATTTGGTACAGCAATAACCAATTTAGCTCCTCTTTCAATTTTCCTTTTGTAAACGTGATTAGATTCAGTTTTCTGGTATTCACTAATAGCATCAATACCTGATTTTGTTAATTCAGTGCAGAGAAGCACATGCTGCAGTGTTGTTAGCAGTAGAAAATGTGTGTGGACAAAGAATGAGCTAACATTGTTCATGATCATTCTATCATTTATGTAAAGTTGACCTTTATGTGACAGTCCAATGAAATATACTTCATTGTCTACTGTAAATACATCAAATTTTGGGCATGATACCCCAAATGACACATCTTGGATTTCAAGATCCTCCCCAAGTTTGCAAAATGCAATATCACCATCATGAAGTTGGAAAAATAATGATGTGTGTTCTATTGGGTGTGATTGAACTCTTGTTATAGGTGCAGGCAAAGAGATATCATGTTTTTTAACTATTTTATCTTCACCAATTGAATACTCTACCAATTTGAATGTATCACTATTTTCAACTGCATTGCAAACAACTGTGTCAGCATCAACCCAGAACCAATTGTAGCATTGGAATGGATAATCGTATTTGGTAGCTTCAACAGTTTTAGACACTTCATATTGGAGAGGAAACTTATTAGTTTGTTTATAGAATACTAATCTATTATCTGCAGTGTAAGCAAAGAAACAGTTAGGATTGGGATCTCCATCATTTTCTTTCTTAGGAGCAAAATGTACTGAGTTAACATTAGCATCAAGTTTGATTTCAACTGCTGCCATTGGTGGTGGCACAACAGTCTGCCTGAACCCTGTCATGAGAAGTTTGCTCCCATCAATAACAGCAACAACGGCATCATCATCAGGCCCAAAGCCTCTACTGTGATCCACATTCCAAATCCAAGTGTAAGAAAAGTGTTGCCCATTGTGTAAAAATACATGTAATTTTTTGTTGTTGGCAATATCAAAGTCATTGTCCCACATGATCCTGCTGATATTCTGGTCACTGTTGAATGTTAAGCTTTGTTTTAGATACCAATGATAGTTTCCAATTGTATAAAGAAGTAAAGTCTGTGTGTTGTTTTCAGTGTTCCTGCACTGTAAAGTTAATATTTCTGAATCTGAACTCCAACTAATATCTTCAACTAATGTATTAATGTTCACAGGAATGTCAAATTCTCCATGTTTTAGACCATTCTTCTCAAAGAAGGAAACAAGGTATTTATCATTTATTTTCTGCGTTGTAGCAATAAGATTACCACTGGGCCTCCAAGACAGGTTGGATTCTAAACCTTGTTGTTTTTCACTTGTGTACTGTAAATGACCTTCTTTGTCAAAAACCTTGAACCTTCTTATTCCATCCATCATGAATCCAACAGCATACAAGTTACCATCACCTCTCCATGATATTTTTACAGAATTGTCAGCTATTTCAGGATCTAGAACAAACAGTGATTTTTTATTTAAAGATTTTTTCCAAGAATTACTCCTAAAATGTGGTTTGTTATAAATTTTTTTTATGATCTAAGCCAGAAAACGAGCATACGGATCACCTGACAGTAAGCAATCGGCGTCGCCCATGAACACCTGGAACACCAGAGGCGTTACAAGTGCGATACCAGCCTTTTGGGGATTAAGAGATTGAGGATTGCTGGGGATTCAGGAACTTTTGAGGAAGACCTAAAACTGCATCCTAAAAGACTGCCAAGAGTGAGAATTATAGCATACCCCCTTCTTAAGAGGAAGGCTTTTGTTTAACTGTGGATGTACTCCAGCTAATGTTGACAACAAATTATTAAGTATTGTTTACCTGCAGTAACTTCTGTCTTTTGTTTAGCAGCCTGTTTGCCAGCTGACCCATGGAACTGAGTTTCTTTCTTCCCCCAACCAACAGTGATGAACTGTTTCTCTCCAAACTCTTCATTAAACAAGCTGATCTCATGTACAGGATCAAACATGCTCATTAGAATCATATTCATGTCTTTTGTAACTAGTACCAGTAGTTCTTGATCTGGACTCCATTCCATAGCCTGCAAGAGAATATTGCTATTATAGTAATTTTTTTGAGGGGGAAAATCATCCTGTGACTTCTCCCGCCTTGGGTGAGGCGTGTCAGACTCTTACTAACAAAAAACCACCCAGTTCTTACTCCTGCTCTCTGAGCTGGAACCCGGGTAACCCGATGGCCATCCGCGGTTATAGTCTTACTAATATTATAAACGCGAAAGTTTGTATGTTCATATGTATGTTTCTGTTCTCAATCACATTAAACTGTCAAACACAATGAGGACACCGGTGGTTCTTTAATTGCGTCTATAATGTAGTTTTTGTCAAAAGTTATTAAACGTTACGCAATTCGCTTTGATATTCCTACTAATGAATACTTACTTTTGATAAATTACTTTAATATATATAGCCAGTAAGTACATTTCTCCCGAATTTTATTCTGTGCAATATATTTGCTAAGATTTTCCAATAGCTAAATATTGGTCATGAGAATGTAACATTATCGTAAATTTATTAGTGATACATACCAGTAGTCCACTGTCACATACTCCAGCCAAGTCTAGATTGCTGCCATCATTGCTGATGGTAATTAGTTCACCATTTGCAAAACCAACACACAGAGTGTTGGTAAGTGTGAGAAATGTAATATTTATCGGGCTATTGTCAGGAGAAGCGATGCCCGAAAGATCTTTAGTCCATTTAAGTTCATTATTTTGATCGAAATTAATCACACTTAGGTTATGTGTACAAACATACAGTTCGTTGGTAGAACTAACTTCATCGTGGCCATTACATACTATAAGTTTATCCACTGATTTAAGATTGAGATCTCCAACGGAGACATCCCAAACATTTAAGTTTTTCATTGTCGCAAAATGTGTAAAATACGAACGTAAACACGTTTTGAATCAATGATTACACACTAATGTCACTTTTAAACGTCAAAGCCGTGATGACATTGACATCATTATGTTGAAAAAAAAACTTGGCGCATACTTAGCACCGAGTATTTTGCAACTTTAACAATCAAGTTTGACGTATGAATATAAATGTATTATGCCTCCAGTTTGATTTCAAGTTCAGGTAAGTAATAAAAATACTGACTACCTCGTTGGCCGAGTGGTCGTAATTGAAACTGCCGGGCAAGGGGTCTCGGGTTTGAATCCCGGGTCGGGCAAAGTGTTACTGGATTTTTTAAAAATTCTCACTAGTGGCACGGAGGCTCGAACCGTACCCGGCATATGGCAATAGGCTCACCCATTTATGCGATGAGTCCCATGTAATAGGACATGAGACTCAACATAAATAGTGAAAAGTGGGTGTTACATTGTACAGTGGTATAATGTGCATCTCTGCGAGGATAAAAGGTGTGATGTTATGTTATGTAATAAAAATACTAAGTACTATTCGCATCTGATTCTGACGGTGCGATGGCGTTAAGAAAAACTGTTTTGGGGGTAATTAATGTTATAACTTACTTAACGAACTTGTGTTCGTCTTTTAATCAGCATGAAGTTAATAAAAAATATAGTCACCACTGAGTGCGCATTTAGGAAAAAATAAATAATAGTTGCATTTAGGAAGACAAGAAATGAAATAAAACTATGCCAATCAACACAATAATGTTTATCTCTATAAATTACAGTAGCTACAGCTAATTACATAGTTATCTATTTTAAACCTTAGGATAGTAAGTTGTTTCGAACTTCTTTCTGCTCTTGGGATATGGCCTCAAAACTTTAGGAATATAAGGAGGTAGATGTTGATCCAATCTTCTGGTGTAAGGATTAATTCCCAGTTCAAATGGTCTCCTCTTAGCTTCAAAGAATCTTGAGTTGAATTGAATCTTGTATATACGCTCCCATAAGTAAACTTCAGGCAATAAGTAATGTTTGGGTCTATTAGATACTAAGTGTTTGTATCTGTTTTCAAGCCAACAGCGCTTATTATCATCTTCAATATCAGCTACGACTTGTTCTTCTTCACCTAAATATGGTTTCATTTCATGGTCTCGTTCTTCAGGAGCATTCAAGTAAAACTGGACAATCATCTTCAACACATCCTCATTAAGCCCCTGTACTTTTCCATTCTCTATGCTGTCATACAATTTCAGAGGTTTTGTTCCAAAGCAAATGTTGCTTTTGGGGCTATCAACCTTGTCTCGATGCATCTCAATAGTATTTAATTGGTATGCATAAAGAGACCACAGCTGACCATTAGTGATAACAGTTTGAGTAACTAAAGGATAAGTTACATCATTAAAAGTAGTGAATCCTTGGTAATTGGCCTGGGCTAGTAGCCAACCAAAGCTGGCTTTCATTGCCTGACAATGCAAAGCTTCAATATGGTCTTCAGGCCCAAACGATTCTCTTCTGCCTAGAATGTGACCACGGCCGTGATAAGACACCAGGCCAAATTCATCAAAATCACCAGGCCAGAAACCTGTGAAATAAACAAGATATTAGATATTTTCTTTAATTAATGCCACAATGGAAATGATAAATTAATTTCTTGAATATTTTATGTTGTACAAATGACAACTGATTAAGTAATAAGTATTTATTTACTTTACCTGGTATATTAGTGCCATGTCTGTGTTCCGTACTATATCCAACAGCACGAGGTTCAGCTGTGAACTTAGGTACTTTGAATTCTGGATTCTCAGCTTCTTGAAAAGGCAGAATAGGCTTTAAAGGTAAACGGTTTCTTACTGTCAGTAACGGAGTTCCTGAAACAGAAATCAATAACAAATCAATCTAAAGTTCCTGTTACTTAAGACTGTAATGTCAATGATTGTGTTGTATTTGCATACCTAAGTATTGAATAGGCCTGTCGATAGACTCGTACCAGCGATCCTTAAGATATTTATATTGCTGCCTCCACCTCACAACATTGATGGGTGTATCTACACCACCAATAAACCAAAACGCTTCATGGCGAGGATCATAATCAACCTGGATATAAATAATAATAATATTATATGAATTTAATGTACTGTCATAAGTAGTTATATAAGTATTTACTTTATAAGTAGGTAATACTTAGATTTCAAGCTTAAAATAAAATAAAAATACGCCAGAAAGTTTATGTAGTATTGCATATAATTTTAAGTTATTGATTTTATTGAAGTTTCACTGTTTAAAAATGGAGTTTGCAGCGTAAGTTTAACTTAAACAGATAGATATGTACTTACTTGTGATGATAAAACATGTTCCACTTTGTCAGCTAAATTGTTAGAGATGATTCTGTTTATTTGCTTCACTATACATTTAGCTACAGCATCCTCTAACTGCGGTTGTTCTTTCTTTTGTGTACTGGTAATGATTTTTCGGCTGAAATGTAAAATAGATTAACGTGAATTACTTATTGTGTAAAAATTACTTTTTGTAGTATAATATAAACTATCTATCAAATTCACAACTTTGCAAAGGCTTTGTTTATTTATAGGGTATTAAAGGAAAAAGTACTTAATCAAATACTTACTCAACACCTCCGTTCTCAATCAGAATAGCTTCTTCAATGAGCCCCTTAATCTCTTTAACAACGGCGTCAGCTGCCTCACTTGTTTTCTTATAATATTCCGGGAGCTTATCAACAGGAATGAAGTGACTTCTTGTGTAATATTGAACTAGGGGCATAGCATTGTAGGGCACTTTGTCTTCATTAAATATAATACACTTCCACCCATAATAACGAGGCATATTCAGAGCAATCTGTTTCTCCTCCACAGTATTTATTGCTTGAATTTTTTGATGAAGTTCTTGTCTTTCTCTAAATTTTTTGCCTTGTAAAGACATGTCCAAAATAGGTGGATATTCCGGTGTATCAGTGTACTCATTCTGTTCAGATAGCACAGCTTGAGATTGTCGTCTTGTTACTAGCTTTTTTAATTTAGGAAACGTTCTGTGAACTCTGTTTAAATACATATTGGATTCACAATGTAATCACTTCGGGTTTGTAATATTTTGAAGGCTTATTTAATTTTTGAGGTTATGATTCGTTCTGAAATCAATAACGTCAAGAACAGATCCAAAATGCAACGAACACAAAGGCTGGTGTCTAAAATTTTAAAAGGACAAGGAAAATGTGTATTTACCCAAAATATTTTAACAATTCTTTTGAACAATAATTCTTTTCAATTTCGCTCATCTTATACTAATAAAAAAGAAAAGATAAATGAATAAACACTACAGTGTTACCAACTAAAAATTGTGGTTGTTCCGGAACGAAATGTCCTAGGCTGATGCAACGTTTTGACATTAACCACAGCCTGATAGCCACCTGCCAAATTATCTTGAAATATAACCATTCACTAAAATATTTAACGTTATTTAGTGGTTAATTCTAAACTTAATCATGGACGACGACATGGTATTTGATCCATCTTTAAAGAAAAAGAAGAAGAAGAAGACTGGTTTCGACATAGATGCCGCTCTCGCAGGCGAACAAGGTGAGAGCACGAGCGTGGAGGCGCCCGCTGGGTCGGGTGACGTCGACTTGCCTGAGGATGATAACCTCGATTTGGATAATTTTGGGAAGAAAAAGAAGAAGAAGAAGAAGGGAGTCTTTAACATGGAAGAACTTGAAAGTACGTTACCGGAAACACCTCCGGCCGAAGAGCCGGAACAACAGGAGGACGAGGTTATTGACGATTTAGACCTAGATATTGACTTCTCCAAAACGAAAAAGAAGAAGAAGAAGAAAAACATCGAGGAGCTCGTCCTTGAAGATGACACCAAGGGTGAAGATCAAGAAAATGTGGAGGATGTTAGTGGTGATTTATGGAGCGGTACAGACCGTGACTACACGTACGACGAGCTACTAGAGCGAGTGTTCGACATCATGCGAGAAAAGAATCCTAGCATGGTTTCTGGCAAAAAACAAAAATTCATCATGAGACCTCCACAAGTTGTTAGAATTGGAACTAAGAAAACATCATTTGCCAACTTCACAGAGATCTGCAAAACTCTTCACCGGCAGCCTAAACATTTATTAGACTTTTTATTGGCTGAGTTGGGTACAAGCGGGTCTGTGGACGGCAACAGTCAACTCATTATCAAAGGTCGTTTCCAACAGAAACAGATAGAGAATGTTCTTCGTCGGTATATTAAGGAATATGTAACATGTCATACATGCCGCTCTCCTGACACCATCCTCCAGAAAGATACTCGATTATTCTTCCTTCAGTGTGAAACATGTGGTTCCCGTTGCTCTGTGGCCAGCATCAAGTCTGGTTTCCAGGCTGTCACTGGTAAACGTGCTGCCATCCGTGCAAAGACTGCATAGAGTATTAGTGCTTAGTGATAAACTAATTATACAGTCATGGAACTGGGGTACATGCAGTCGTGGGCCTTATTTTTGCTGTAATATTTTTCTAAACATTGTCAGCTGTAATCTGGTGCTGGCCATTGTTATTGTGCAATTTGTAAGTAGATAGACATAATAAGAGGTGCACCTAATTCCTTCATGTACCTTTGGTATTTATTATTCAAAATCAATTGATCTAGAATGAACTGACCTAAGTTCTTAGTAAAATGTATACCTTTTAGTTGCTTTCTTCTGTCAAAGTTATGGTAAATAATTAGTGATGTGCTCAAAATTTTTGTGATTGGCTGAATGAGGTATTGCCTGAGTGTACCCCATTTTAACCCCTATATTTATGTATAGCTCACTTCTGTATTATTCTCATTGATACACAATGGTTTTATAAATAGTTGTTTTATTTCATATCTTTAATAAAACACATTTTTATGATGTAACAAGTTGTATACTTTCGAAACATAATGTAACATGTATAAAAATAGACATTTAGTGAAGACTACATACTAGATAGACTAACAACACCATTTAAAATAACATTTTGTGATAAACAGTATAATACAGCATGCATTTTAGCTTAAATTACATAGATATTACAAAAACAATAAACAAATTAGCACCATTTATGACACAACCAAACAACACAAAAGCTGTTTGTGTATTTATTAGTTGTTGGAAACAACTTGAGGTACAAAATCATGCTTGACAGCTTTATTGAGGCTATCAGCATACAAATCAAGACGCTGGGTCATTGTGAAGCCCCATTTATCCTTGATCTGTCTGCATAGATTGAGATCTATTTGGCTTATCAGCAAGCCATCCTTCACTCTGGACAAAGCTGGAGTTCTGGCACCATCAGGAGCAGTGCAGTAGCTTGATCCATAGAAATGTCCAAATTCTTTATGGGCTGGTTTACCATCTCCAGATGTAAATTCATTAGGGAATGATTCAGTTCCTACTCTATTGATAGCAAATGTAAAATAGCTGTTAGCTATAGCAGCATTCCTGGCTTCAACAGCCCACAGGTGTTCACTCAATCCTGCCACAGTAGCTGAAGGGTTAAACACAATTTCAGCTCCATTTACTCCAAACATGAGCCAGTTCAGTGGATGGTGACGGCCATAACAAATGTTAACAGCTATTTTGCCATATTTTGTATCAAACACTGGATGACCAGTATTCCCCTCAAAATAGTAAGTAGATTCATTAAAATCTCCAACACGGGGTATATGGTTCTTGCGATGCTTTCCAATTACCTTTCCTACTTCGTTGATAACCACAGCAGTGTTCCAGATAGTATCTCCATGCACTTCATCTCGTTCTAGGATTGGTGATACAATGACCATCCCATATTTGATAGCTAAATCTTTTAGGAACTGAGTGCTTGGCCCATTTATAGCAGATTCAGCAAATTCACACCAAGGCTGCTTCTCCCTTGTGCAAAAAGCAAATGGCATGTTCCATGCTTCTTGTAAACAAAGTACATTTACACCCTCCTCTCCAGCTGCTTCTATAATTTTGCGAATTTTATCAAAAATAGCTTGTCTCTGTTCCACTAATGGTTTATCAGTAGATGTCGCAATAGTATGTTGAATAACACCAACTCTTACTATACGTGGACTCCTAGTTTCTTCTTTCTTGGTCGGAAAGTCATAGGAAGCAATTTCAAAACCATTTTCCTTCGCAGATTCTTGGCTACTTTGCTTTATATTCAATTCGTGATGGTGGGTGCGCCCATAGTGAATTCGATTGTATTCTTGTAATTCAACATCAGACAAGTTCTTAGATATCAATAAGTCTAGGCTCTGAAGTTCCGAAGAAGCTGCCATTATAAGTAGTGGGTAGGGTACCTTCTTAAGCCAATTAAAATAATGTTCAATTAAATAGCTAGCTGTAACGCTACAAACTTCAGTCTGAATTCCCTATCAGTTATTAACAGAACAGAAATACGAAATAATTATACATCAAACAGATAAAGTTGTTGACTGTTGAGAAAAAAAAGATGATAACAAACTCTGCTGATAAAAACAAAAGTCAAGTGTGATACAAATACCAGAAGTTCGCAACATGCATTCAATCATGGAAAAGTAACGTTTCTACTTTTCTATGCATTCAATAGATGAATAATGAGATATTAATTATTAAGTAGTAGTATTATGGTACATATGTAGGCTATGTAAAACAACCAATACCAAATAGGCAAATGTTGAAAGTCGCACTCGCAAAAATAGAATAAATTAACTTGAAATTATATTGGAATTTGACAGATACTAAAGTCTGGTAAAGTAAGTTTGTACCAAAGTAAAAAATAACAGAATCACTTGTTATTTCATATACAAAAAAAAAACAGTGATTTAAATTAGTTTTGTTTGGAAATTGGCATAGGTTGTTATAGCCTAAACAGCCCTTATGTGCATCTTCGGTCCAACTTGGATCTTGGAAATGGATTTGGCAAAGATATGAAATTATGCGTTTGTTAGAAATTGATTGATTGTTATTGTTTAGCGTTATTTATTTATTTTTCAACGTCTTTGGCCTTGGTCCTTGGTTTGTGATCGGGTTGTTTTCAGTTGCAGTCAGTGACCAACATGATTAAGTTGCTAGAAATGTTAGAACATTGTTAAGCTTCTGAGTTTTTATTCAGTATTTAAAGCAATATCTTGAAAATTCTATCTGTTATTTTTAACTATTTACGATTTTTACGCTATGCGATGATAATATGATTTCAACTATTGCTGGTTGGACTTTGGACTTCAAACACCCCTATTATACTCTACACTCGATGGTTTTACAAAATAAATGTCATTACGACGGAATGTCATTTTGGTGTCAAAAAAAGACATTATAGTGAGTGAGTGATCAGTGATTTGAGTGTGGTTATTGGTTGTGTTTATTAATACATTTCAAATAATTTCTACTGAGACGCGTTATTTACTTATACTTACAACCTAAACACAATCGACTATCATCTTCATCTAATACTTTTGTGGTATCTAAATTTAATCACGAACAATTTAAGTGACTGAAAGTAGCATCCGTAGGACAAAATGAATACGCTTCCAGCCCAACCCGTTGGGATACAGAGTACAGCAGGAGCTGTTCCCATTCGAAATGAAAAAGGTCAGTCAGTCTATAGTGTAATATTAATAGTGATCATTTGCATCAAAATTGTCACAGTTTTCTTTACCACTTTTCTTTCCCATCTTACATATTTTGTTGTTTGCAGGAGAGATATCTATGCAGAAGGTGAAAGTACAGAGATATATATCGGGTAAAAAGCCAGACTATGCTCAAGGTGCGTCGTCATCAGAAGAATCTGACACTGAAGACTTTATAGAGCAACAGAAGCCAGATCGCAGGCAGCAGACTTTACCACAGATTATAACAAAGAAGGATGAACACCATAGTGATTCTGAGAAAGAAGTTAGTTTAATCTGATGTATTTATTTCATAGAAACATTCCTTTTCTAATGACTCTTGCCTAAAGGTGAGATAGTGATCAAAAACTTGCTTGTGTAGCATTATAAAGTGATTTAATTTAATAGTTTATTCGTTTGGTTTATTAGGTGGACGACCCGCGTTTGCGGCGTTTACGACAAGCGGCCCAGTCTCCTCCGAGACGAGCTGAGCACAAACCAGAGATTATTGATGCAGAACCTGAGGAAGAACATGAAAGTAGTGTTGAGGAATTCAAGGACAGCTCGGAAAGTGAGGATGAACTTGATGAGGAAGAGATCGAGAGACGCCGACAGGCTCTCAAAGCTAAACTTGCTGCTAGGTATGTAAATAGAGAGTTTGCCTTTAGTTTTATTATAGTCCGATTTTTCCTAATTTGAAAGCTATTTGGTTAAAAAAGTGCCTTATGTATACTTATTTTTCAAAAGAAAAAAGGTTTGGTTAGAGGTTTGGCTATACATAGTTTTATAATCTTCGCATGAGATGTTAAATTAACCCTTTGAGTACCATTAATATAGACACAATTAAAGAACAATAGGTTGCAGTGACCGGTGTCCTCGTGGTGTTTGACAGTTTAATAGTAGTGAGTCCTACACATCTTTTTGCAATGAAGAATAATGACAGGAGAAATCTGTGACTAGAAATCTGTTACCTTTTTATTACTGTTATACAATATTAATTTGCATTTACAGGGAAGCTGAGAAGGAGGTTCTTGGTAGAGATGATGATGAGGAAATGTTGGATGGAGATAAGGAGGAGAGTGGCTCATCTGACACTGAGTACACAGACAGTGAAGAAGATACAGGTAAAGTAATTGCAATTTATATAATTGTATGATTAAATAATTATAATCATTACTTTTGTAGCACAATTTTCTTTCAATATGTTCTTGGACTGTGCAAGTGCTGCATACTGCAATTAGATATTCTTCCAAATACTGTTCTAGTTTACTGAAGAAATTTTTGATTCTACATTATGTCTAATGATATACAACATTCTTATAGGTCCTCGCGTAAAACCCGTTTTTGTAAGAGCCTCAGACAGAATGACAGTGCAAGAGAGAGAACGGAAAATTAAGCTGCAGAAGAAAGAGGAAGCAGAAGCCAGGAAAGAAAAAGAAGAAAGGAGAAGAGAGGCTCTGAAACTGGTTGAAGAGACTATCAGATCTGAGCAGAGAGCTACACAGGTTTGTTACATTATTACTACTTACTATTGGTTGTAGTTTGGTATTTAGGTCTACTAGCTTCTGCCCGCGACTTCGTACGCACAATTCCGTTTTCCCCCGTTCCTGTAGGATTTTCAGGATGTTTTCTGTCCTAAGAACCTTCTCCTAATAATAACAAATACAAAAAAAAGAATTAGTGAAATCGGTCCAGCCATTCACGCGTGATGCCGTGACCAAGGCAAAAAGGGTTTAATTTTTATGTATATCAATATACATAAAAAATAATATAGCCTTCTATAAAAAATGGACATAAATTTAATGTTTCAAGTCTGATTTGTTGTTTCAGAGAAGCATATTTAACCAATAATAAATAAATTCTTCACCTTTTTAGTATCAACTAGTTATAATAGATTTTGATAGTACAACAGCTTTCAATAAATAATAGTACCTAAATAATAGCATTTATATAAGATTAACAGTATAACTTAATGGCGTAAGCTGTGGTGTTATATATGTACATTTTCAAAATAAATAAATAAATAAATAAAATTCAGCCTATCAATTGTCGTAATCACATTTTTTTTATCATGCATTATTTTCCCTAAGCTAGTGTTAACTCTTTATAAATTTAGATATATTTTGAGTCAACAGGATGCCTTCTTGCAAGCTTTAATTTTTTTTTCCAGGGTGAACATAAGGAAGGTAACATCAATGACGTGTGTACTGATGACGAGAATGATGAACTAGAGTACGAGGCGTGGAAGCTGCGTGAAATGAAGCGCATCAAACGTGACAAGGAAGAGAGAGAAGCGTAAGTAACCTTTACTAATGAAGCTGAACAATGTCTTACAATCATACTCAGGGTCAATTAAGCTGTGAAGTGCCGAAACGTAGATATACGCGAGATACCATGTGTTATCTATTGTGTCTCATATATCGACAAACAAGAGGTTAATGGTTACTTACTTGACCCTGTCCTTAACAGTTATTTTTGTAATAATCGTTAGTAAGGAAATAAATAACTAGGCCTAAAATAAATAAAAATAGGATATAGAGGAATAGAAGAACAAACTTAACCCATTAATTAACACATTGGCTGATACAAACACTTTTGTAATTTTTCTTTCTTGGTCTTTTAACTACATAATTTTACTTTCAGCGTGGAGAAGGAACTATTGGCTATTGAGCGTATGCGTAACATGACGGAAGAGGAACGCCGCGTGGAACAGCGTCTCAATCCCAAACTCGTAACCAACAAGTCTGTCAAGGGCAAATACAAGTTCCTACAGAAATATTACCACAGGTACATTTGTATTCTTTTATTTATTTACTTGAACTGTAACTAGAACTAATGATTATTTAAATCCTTATCCTTACTAATATATATATATATCCGTATCTCGTATTGTTATTACGTATTGTTTGTTTGTTTGTTTGTTCCGACTTCATGCCGTAACTACTAAACCGATTGCATTGAAGTTTTGCAGACGTAAAGTTAGTAGTCTGGATTAAATAATAGGGTACATTTTATCCCGAAAAAATTTGATATTCCCGAGGGAAAACAAAAGTATTGGTATAGATGGCGCTGTATGTATTGGTATATGTCACATAGGCTACTTTTTATCCTTTTGTGACGCGAGCGAAGCCGCGGGTAAAAGCTAGTTACATTATAATCAAGACTATGGAATATTGTTATTATAAATTCTCATTTCAAATGATCCAGAACTTTCTGTCTCTTTAGATAGTTACACCTAAACTGATTAATGATAAAAATTTCAGGGGTGCCTTCTACCTGGACAAAGAAGACGAGGTCTTCAAACAAGACTTCTCTGGTCCAACTTTGGACGATCACTTTGATAAGACTGTTTTGCCTAAGGTAAGTTCTGTAAATAATTTTACGTATTGTTGTAAAATACACTGACTGTAAGGCACACAGACTGCCTCGTTGGCCAAGTGGTCGCAAGAGCGACCCGTGACCGTTCGATTGTCTGGAATTGTGCCCGGTATATGGCAATATCCTCACCCCATATTACATGGGACTCATAACATAAATAGTGAAAACTGGGTGTTACATTACAATGCACCTCTGCCTACCCCTTCGGGAATAGAAGGCGTGATGTTATGTTATGTTATATAAAATACACTGCTTTGTTCTAGTATTATGGTAAAGGGTTGTAAAAAATTAACATGATCATGGATGAAACTCAAATCATCTACTAATGATGTCATTTGAAAAGTAATACTGCTCTACAATCAATCATTCTGAAATCAACTATATTATGGCAATACTTAGGTTGAAATTGACTCAACATTATTTTACCTCTCTCACAGGTAATGCAAGTTAAGAAATTCGGTCGTTCGGGACGTACGAAATACACGCATTTGGTGGATCAAGATACCACGGAGTTTGATTCAGCTTGGAGTAACGAAGGCGCGGCAGCTAGGCTGGCTAACTTCAGGGGAGGCATGAAACAAGTCTTTGACAAACCGTCCGCCAAGAGGAAGCATAATGTCTGATAATAAGTATGCCTTATCACTGTACAGTTGAAGAGAGAAAATAAGAACGAAGAACTTAAATAGGTACTGAAGCAGTGGCAGATTTAGTGTGTACGGGGCCCGTAGCAAATATCGAGAGACCGCCCTCTTCGCGGGGCTCTTTCGTGCGGGTATATTTTGTACGCGGGGCTCCTTTAATCGCGGACCCTTTTCGCAAAAGGTCTGAGTGCCAAGCACGAATAACTATCGCATTCGTAACGTAATAGTATAGAGCGGGTTCGGCGCTCTGATTCGCTGGTTCAAGTGAACCAACCAATCAGAACGCTAACTCGCTCGATACTGTTACGATACGAATGCGATAGTTATTCGTGCTTGGCACTTAGTAATATAGCTATTGAGTGTAGTCTGGCAATGTACTGAAGGCAACAAATTTACAAGATTGTGTTCTAAACGTACTAAATTAGATTTTTATAAGCTCAGCAATAAATAGTAAATTAAATATGACGAATGGTACCAAGAAAAGAAGGCGTGAAATAGAAATATGTTTTGGTTCCCAGGGTAAACAAATATTTACGTTATAGGATTTATTATACGTGCTAAAATAGAATGATATACGTAGTCCCCAGCAGATCTACAAATTCTAATAGTAGATTTTTAACCTAATTACTTTGTTATAGTGTCGAAAACCTAATGATTTGATTGGGGTCTGTACTAGAAAATCAGAGTTATGCCTTATCTATGTTTACCGTTCATTTGACTGTACTAAAGTGTTCTGTGTATGTGCTGTTATTACAATGACGACTGTAAATATTATTAGGTTATTGAAATCCTAGCATTAAGTTGGAAAAATAAATTGTGAAAAATTCACACTTTGTTTAATTTTGCATTGTATAGGTATGTTACCGGCCAAACCCGATTTCAGGACAAACTAGTTTTGCCTAGGCTAAAGTAGTTCTTCCATATACGCGTTAGGATTAACTAGTGTAGCCTAGTTCAAACTAATTTGTCCTAAGCCCGATAGGATAAACCAGTTTAGGCTAGGACAAACTAGTTGATCCTGATATAAATACGCACACTCTAGGATAAACTGATATGGCCTAGTCAAAACATTCTAATATATCTAGAAAGTCAAAAGAAATAGACAAATTGATTAAAATTCTCCGTAATTGGAAAAATAATAATTTTTATTAAACTATAATGATTCGTCGTTAAAAGTTATGGTTAATTGGTAATACGAACAATCATACTATAACAAAAAATAAGTGTTTATTATTATTATTTTTTTTGAAGGTGGCGTTCCGCGTGCGCCTCAAATAGCCATTAGACCACTACAGATGGGGCCCAGTAGGGCTGATGCCGATACGGAGCCACGGAAAACTTAACGGGTTACCGGGGCTCCGGCTCGAAGTGTAGGAGTAGGAACGGGGTGGTTTTATAGTCATTATATTATAGGATACTACCCATTGAGTGTGCTAACTGATAGATAGGAGTATGAATATTTATTGGTGATCATGATCATATACCTCAGTCATAGACAAGTGTTCAAGTAGCTGTGTATATTCTAAGCATGAATACCGTATGCATCAACCAAGTTTCACGACATCGAATAGGTTTAGCAAGGAACTTCAATCGTTATTAACTTTTATATAACGTGTGAACGAGACGACAGATTTTAACTTGATTTATGCCTTTTAGTCTTACGGATTACGCTGCTTTAGTATCTTAATTTATCGCATAAAGACTTTTATTTTATTACCTTCAGTTTAATTAGGTATCTACCAACAGCGCCATTTTGAGAATTAAAAACTATCTAAAGTTTTTACGTTTAGCGCACGTGTTTCTTTTAGAGCGCACGTTACTACCTACCTATTTCAGTATACAGATAGTATAAAGAACATGTTCTTTATACTATGATACAGACGTACAGGCAGCGTAGATATGTACCTATTAGGTATATTATGTGTTTACTATAGTGTAGTAGTTTAAAAATGTATGCGTATGTAGGTGTACACAAACTTACCAGCTACCATGTAGTCCACATAGCTACTTATCGGCTTGAATTAATCGGATCCACCTAAGTACTTATATCTATATATATACGTGACGAATGCGCTATCTTTCATGTTATCATCAATTTTCACTTGAAGTTGACAGAAATAAAAGTAAACTTAACCTTGAATCGAAGTGTATTAAATTACTAAATTATCAAATACAAATTAAAACTATAAAAATAATTAAAGTACAAGTTACAAGAAAACATTACCTAAAAATACGCGACAAAAAGTTAAAAGTTAAAAACTCTTCCTACATATTACACTTATTTGGTCCCGGTAGTTTTATGGTTTGGTAGTGGTCCGGATCTGGTTGCGCACCGCTGCGGGATACGGCGCCGCGAGTCAGTAGCCACACACGTCCATACTGAGGTGCATGTCTACCGAAGTAACTGTCGCTAAGTCGCCATCCATATTCCCAGCCAGTTGTTTCTAGAAAATAATACTTGTCTTCAGGAGCCATTTTATTTCTTTCCTTTAAGTAGACTTCTCGTCCAAAGTTCGGAAGACCTTTGTAGATAAGTTTTTTGTGCTTCGGATGAATAGGCCGCATTTTTGGGTCTGGTTTGAGGTCAGTATCTGGCCGATTAACCGTCGGATCCTTTTTAGGATCTGCAAGACCAACTTCAGCAATCGAATGTCCCTTCTTCATGTCTTTAATACCTGGTATAAAGACCCCGTCGCGGATTGGTATCATTCTCTTGTTCCTCGCACCAGATTGATTATCTCTTGTTATAGTTGGTAACCCTCCGGTCATAGTTTCTTTCAAAACGTCTTCAACCCGATATCCTTTCTCTTCTCGGGTTAGACTAGCAGCCTTGTTCAACTTGTCCCAATAAAGGTTATTCCATCTCATTCGAAGACGGGCGGTCTTCTCGTAATTTTCTATGAAGAATTTGATTGTAGCAGGATTGGTCATATCGATAGGAGGCATTTTGATGTTTAAGGTAAATTAGGTATTAAAACGGCGAAAGTAAAATTACAAAATCTTGAAAGCTCAAGACAATAATCTTTTCAAAAGTTAATCAACGCCAAAATCTAATGTGTGACCAAGGAGTACTTATGTAGGTACTTAAAGTTAGTGACAAAAATAATAAAATGAGGATTTAAATCCACGGCCTCACAGGAAACCGACGTGAAGCAACGCTTGCGTTGTGTTTCGTCGTGTGAGTGAGGTTACTGCAGGCCCAATTACCCTCCCCGTCTCCATTCTCCCCAATTCCTAAATCCCCAACGATCCTCAAACTCCTAATCCCCAAAAGGCCGGTAACGTACTTGTAACGCCTCTGGTGTTCCGGGTGTCCATGGGCCACGCAGATTGCTTACCATTAGGTGATCCGTCTGCTCGTTTACCGGCTTATGCCATAAAAATAAAACCTAACGGGTAACCGGAGCTCCGGCTCGACGTGCAGGAGAAGGAACGGGGTGGTTTTTAGTCAGTAAGAGTCTGACACTCCCTTCCGCCTCACCCAGGCGGGAGCAGTCATTCGATGATTTTCCCCCCTTAAAAAAAAAAAAAAAAATGTTACTTAGAAAATAAAGCACCAAAATATCACTAGTTTATTTATGTGTTCGTGTACTTGCAACACCGTTATGTATGAAGTGTAATGACGGGCCATGATGACAGATGTCCTTCGTGTCAATGTGTGTGTATTTTACGTGTAAGTCTATAGTAGCCAGGTGCCAATGTCCGTCTTTGTTCAACGTCCTTGAATTCATCTTTTTGCTTGTCTTGTATTCACAAAGGTTGTGTATGTCGGTCGGTTGTGTTTATAAGGCAATTTGGGCAGTCTCAAAGAATGTGATCCGAACCAATATAAAATAATTAGTTCTTTGTATTGGTAAAATCGAAAAAACAATTGCATCTGAGAAGTTTATCTGCCCATTAGACCTCAAGATATTAAAACAGCTATATCCTTAATTATTTTATACCATGGTTAAATTGCTAGGGTCGCATTGTCCGTGCACTACATAGGTACACGGTCGTTTATGGGCTAAATAAAACTTAGAGCTCTGTGGATGGTTGCCGGGTAGATGATAAAAGTTTCAGTCCCATTGTGGCCGTTAGACAATGTTTTGTTGAAACGTGCCGTGCTCAAGGGTTCCACATTGCTGCTACTTTTTGTTCATAACCTTAAAAGTACCTCCCTGTAGCCTGTAAGGTCTGAGTATGTACAATGAATTCCGGACTGGTCTTTAAGGTTAGATTAATAAGAACAATTTTCCTGTAGGTTGTAGGAAGTTTGAAATAATTGGTAATTATGTCAATCGATAGATAGTTTGAGGAGACAGTTTAGTAACGTAACTACTTAATGAAATAAGATTTTTTATTGCCACAAGAACTTTATTTAAATATCTATAATCTGCTATTGATTACGTAATTTACAACTCTTACAATATCGCAACGGTTAAAGTAATTCCACCCAAGCGTTGTAAGCAGATGTATTTTTATGTTATTATAATCCAACACATTTTTTATACTGGGCATCATTTGGCTTTAAGGACTCTGGTGGATCTGGGTGTGCTCCAGAACGCCTTACCAGGTCATGGACAAATATGCTATAGCGGTTATGCTCTGGTGGACTCCTTTTTAATTCATTTTCATTAAGTTTCCAACCATAGTTGTTGTATGTAGTCACACAAAAAGTGTATTTATCTTCAGGCAATTTGTGGTGTCTTGTATTAAGGTACGCGTTTCGTCCACCACCGGCTGCTAAGTCTGTGTAGAGAATGCTAGATTCTTTTGGGTCGACTGGTTTCATAATCGGAACCTCTTCGCTTTTCTCAAAGAATCCGTTTAAAATGGTCGTTTCAGCGTCTTCCATCGGAGTTTTTCGCCGATGGTGTATGCTAACATCATTTTGTTTACTTAACATGTTCATACCAGCCTCCATATGCGTCTTAGATATTTGCTCAGTTGTATAATGCTTGCAATTCTCAATTTTCGGTGCATTCTTAATAATTTTCTCTTTGTTTTTAAGGAACCAATTCATACATTTCAAATTCTCCTGATGCTGTCTTTCAATTAAAAACTTTTGTATCAATGGATTCGAGTAATCTAGTGGCATTTTATTGTTGGATAAAAGGATAAAATATGTAAAAATAGAAAAAAAGTTACAATGTATAAAATGTGTAAACAATAAAATCAAAACATTAATGACGTATTGAGAATGTCATATTGTCAAAATTAGTACTTAAACTCAAACTCAAACTCTTTATTTGCATGTTAAGGTAATACCTACATAAAGGTCTTATGAATAAGTATTAGGAAAAAAACAATTATTTTGTCTATGACTTTACCTAGTAAGACCAAGTGTTTTTTTTTTCTTAAAAAAAAACATTGCCCCACACTAGGATTTTCTCCTGTGTCGTGGGTGCGTTTACAAACATACAATTTCACATACACAATGACACCCAGACCCGAAACAACAATTAATTGTGGATCACACAAAGTGTTGTCCCGTGCGGGAATCGAACCCGCGATACGTTGCACGGCAGCCGGTTGCCCAGCCACCGTACCAACCGTGTTTAATTAAATAACAGGTGGATCACATACCTCCTATGCATACCTCGCATATTAATGACATTCATTTTATTATAAACTAGCTTCTGCCAGCGGCTTCGCCCGCGATCCCAGGGGTAAAATGCCTATGTATCACTTCAGACCATAGTCTAGTCTACCTCTGTTCCGAATTTCATTCCGGTCCCTTCATTCGTTTTAATATGACTGAGTAACAAACATACACATAAACTCACATATTTTCATTTATAATATCGAGTCAAGCTAATTTCAACCATTGGCCTTTCAGTTACAGCGTAAAGTCTATGAATGAGTATTGTAAACGTTAGAGTAGACAAATACAATCAGAAATCACCGAATTGCTCAGCTATCGGGAGTTTCACGTGTTATTGTGAGTCAACCATAAAAGATAGACATATGCTGTCGAGGAATATTTTTTATATAATTTTAAGGAGAATATTTCCGTCATACATGATATCTATGTAGCTTTAACCTATAAGCCTGCACACGTGACGGATGCTTAAAAAATGGAGTAACTTCTCCCGTTTTTCCAATATTTCCCTTTACTGCTCTGCTCCTATTGATCGTAGCGCAATGAAAAGTATACTATAACCTGCCCAGGAGTATGAAGAATAATTGTGCCAAATTTCGTTAAAATCCGTCGAGTAGTTTTTGTTTCCATAACGAACATACAGACAGACAGACAGACAGACAAAAATTTTACTGATTGCATTTTTGGCATCAGTAGCGATCCCTAACCACCCCTTGATAGTTATTTTTTAAATATATTTTATGTACAGAATTGACCTCTCTACAGATTTATTATAAGTATAGATGTAACCTCTAGGTCTTTTTTTTTTAATGGGGAAAAATCATCGAATGACTGCTCCCGCCTGGGTGAGGCGGTAGGGAGTATCAGACTCTTACTGACTAAAAACCACCCCGTTCCTTCTCCTGCACGTCGAGCCGGAGCCCCGGTTACCCGTTAGGTTCTCCGCGACTCCGAATCGGCATCGCCCCTGTTGGGCCCCATCTGTGGTTGTGTGATGGCTCTTTGAGGCGCGCGCGGAACCCGACGCGCCTTAAATCTCTAGGTGTAGATTCTCTAGAATCTAAACCATGCAACCCAATAGTGCATCGCACGACTCGAACTCTTTGTTTGGCATATGTGCTTGCGATAACTTGTGCTTGAAAATAACGATTTATGGTGTACTGTACTGAATGAGATTATTCCGAATGCGAAAGTTTTTGAAGTTAATACAAACATTCAAAGGCTTTTAATATTGCTTAAAAATTAATACCAAAAAAAGTAAGTACGTATGTAATACGATTAACAAATAAAAAGTAGGACAATAAATAAATAACAAATAAATCATACTGAAAAAATAAAATCACTCAATGTTCATATGTTAACATACGCCGGGATCCTTTCTAGGCTTTTGGTAATGTGCAGGATCCGGTGCAGGGCCTGTACGGCTTATCTCCCGAGACAGGCGCCACACACGACCGTGTTGCGGCCCTCTTGATTTGAGGGAACTGTCTTTCAACCTCCAGCCGTACGCCCAAGAACTGGTTTCGGCAAAGTAATATCTATCTTCAGGAAGCTGTGCTTTACATCTATTTGTCAAATACACTTCACGACCAAAGTAGGGACGGCCCTTGTATATGATTTTCTTTTGTTTTGGATTTACAGGTCTCATTATAGGGTCGATTGATAGGTCTGTGTCTGGTCGGGCTAGTTTAGGGTCATCTTTGGGATTGCCGAGGTCAACTTCGACGATAGAGTGTCCTTTTTGTAGGCTTTCGATACCAGGTATATTACCGTCCATTACGTGCTTTAGTCGTCTGTTCCTAGCGTCGGTTATACTATCTCTTTTCAACCCAGGTAGGCCTAGTTCCATGGTCGCTTTGGTAACATCTATGTCTTCATAACCCTTTTCTTCTCGATTGAGAGTGGCAGCGAAGCGCAACTTATCGGCATTATGGGTGTTCCATCTCATTCGTAGTCGTGCAGTTTTTTCATAAGTTTCGACTAGAAACTTTATCATTTCGGGTTTATTTATGTCAATTAGAGGCATTGTGTGAATATAAAATAAAGATACGTACAAAAATAAATATAATTCAACAATAGTAAAATGTATGATAGACGAAGGAAAACTTCAATAGAGAAGATAACAGATAATATATGAATACTTCAAATTAAAGAGAATCAAACAGGACAATTCAAAAAGTTTTCATTCAATACCTACTGTGAAATATTGAATCATATAACATTTCGATGAATTGCGAAAATTTTAGAGCCTTAGCTAGCCTTGGCAGAGAGTTCACTTGTAATCCACTCGTAATGTTACAAATTTATATTGTACTGTAGTCTGAGTTACTTACGTCATAATTATCAATCTGATAAATCTGATCTGATTGTAGGAAGAAGAATGTCCTAGGGAAGAAGTAGATAAAGATAGTGATACAAAATCTAACGGAAAAGGTCAAATAATCTCTTGATTTTGAACTGTGTTTCTTATTTAATCTATGGTTCAATGACATCTACTTGCCGATTATTTTGTTTGGATCTATTTTATAGTAGGTATACTGATAAAAAGATGAAATATTTATTAAATAAGAGTAAATTTCTTATATACTAATAAGTAATTTATTAAAAATGGCAACTCGTTTGTTTGCTGACCCTACAGCTATAAATTTCTATGGTGAAATAATTGAAAAAGAAAAAGTTTGCCGAGCACGATGGTTTGAGAAGAATCCGAGGGTACACTCCGCAATTACTTTGAACAGGAAAGGTAAAAACTACTCTGCTACTGACGTCCAAAGATGTCGTATAGATGGTACTATGGCGATTTTAGTGAAGAACCATACTGCCAGCCTTGATAATCGGTACAAATTGCCCCCTCGAGACATTGACCTGGTGAAGCTAGACAATATGAAAGAAAGTGTACCATGTATGAAACCAATACCAGAAGAAATAAAGAAGTTAATACACACAGATCATAGGAAGGTTTATTTAAAAAGGCGTTATGCTGAATCTCCAGCTAAAAGGTACAATTTCATTGAGTGTACCAGTTGGTTACATGGATGGCAAATTGATCCAAGAATATTGAAGGGTTCGGCTTATGGAAAAAGGTATTCGCTTACGTATGTCAAAGGCTTGGGACCTGAGGCAGATCCGCCACATTATCGGGACTGTAAGGATATCTCTAATTTATGCACACAGTTTACTCAATACGCTAAAGTCAACGAAAAAAATTGATTGCATTTAGATATTATAAGAACACAGTTTATAATTTAGTTATAATTTTATTTAGTTTCTATTAAGACGAAGATTGTCTTCATTATTTTAAGTTTCACAATACATTCTAACTTAGGCTACGTGTTAGTATTTCATTTCAAAACACATCTTGTGGTTTTCTTTTTGATCGCGCTTTCACCATTTTAATACTCATTCGTTACATATATGCCCTCGAGGAACTAATAGTTGTTCGTGGTAATACTTCATCCAGATGATCTTTCTTCTATTAATTTATCAGCGGGCAGTGGGAAATGAACTGGCGTTCCATCGCCTAATCTGTTAGCCATTGAGTTAATAACTTCTGCGCTTGCTTCCCGCAAGTCGTACGCCCATCCTATTTTCTCGAAGAATCTTATGAAAGTAGTGGCGAAGTTGAGTACATCGAAGTGTTCAGCTGCTTTGTAGTCAAAGGGGAAAGCGTGGTGGTAATTATGCCAACCTTCACCAAGTGTACACGTCGCCACAAAGCGATTCTCGGCAGGAACTATATTTCTGTAAAGAACACACAGATACTTGTAAACAGAAATTGGTAGGAGGTAGATTGTGTTACAAAATCAAAACCGGCCGACGCCTCAATGATAGGGTGCCAGTTACTTAAGTAAGTTGTCAACAAGAGCCTGGAAGATGGCAGATATTGGAAGTTTGTAATTTTAAAGGAAATTGAGTAACAATATTATGGCAAGAAATAGGCGGTGTTTATGAAGACAAGAGTTTAATTATACAGCAACAACGCTGTGAAGATGATAAACACGTTTATAATTATACTTACTAGGGTATTGCTACTCTCTTAGATAACGTCAATTTGAACTTATTGTTTCTAATTCAAGGTACAAGTATTTTCCTTTAAGATTTTATAAAACGGAACATTCGATTTAGATGCTCTTACTGATAGATAGGTTAGTGAAACAAGTTGTAAGTTAATAGTAGAATATATCAGTAGTTAGATGTAATGTTACGAACTGAATAAAGGCTGAGTGCCATAATTATTGGAGAGGTGTACGTCTAACAAAAGACAGTATCGGGGCATTCTTCTCCACATAAGGCCGCTCGCCCATGAGCTACCGTTTTTGTAGCGATGATGTCGCCCTTAGCATCGATACAGTAGCGAAGTGCATACAAAAGATACACAGTTAGTGCATGCTAGTAGTAGCTACAAAAAGTCGCTCGTGGGTGAGCGGCCTAAAACCATCCTTCCTAAGCTTCCTCTACATAGGAGGGTTTACCATAATGAATTCATGTTTATCAGAAAGCACTCCTGTCTGGTCTTTAACGGAGTCATCTTTATAAAGGACTTACTTATTATACGGCTTGTATCCATAAGCGTGTGCGAGACTGTTGACGGTGAGTTCACTGTGGAACATGCCGAGGAACCTAATGAAGCACTGCCAAGCTACAGCACACTTCCAATCCTCATTCCACAGCCAGACACCAAGCATTGTTGGTAAGACATAGCAGAATACAAGTTTGAGCATGTTGAAGTTTCTGAAAAATAACAATTTAATTTGTTTTTTTTTAATATATTTGATGGGCTTACGTTTGACCACTGTCGCGCCTGGTGGTAAGCGATGATGCGGTCTACGATGGAGCACGTCGTCCCATAAGCAACCTATTCACCTATTGTTGCCCTTTTGCCCGGCATTGAAATTTTTGTATTATTGGGTTTTTTAAAAAATCTCAGTAATAGCACGGAGTCTTGAAATTGAAATTGTGCCCGGTATATGGCAATAGGCTCACCCCCTATTACATGGGACTCATAACATAAATAGTGAAAAGTGGGTGTTACATTGTACAGTGGCATAATGTTCACCTCTGCGTACCCCTTCGGGGATAAAAAAGGCGTGATGTTATGTTATTATGTTATGACATTTTTTCTATGTCGTGTTTTCTTTGTGTAACTTGGTTGGAAAAATAATATTTGCCGATGACATGACGAAAAGTAACGGTTGATTGGGGAATGAAACTCGCGGTTGGACAGTTTACGTTTTATTTTAAGTGACTGTAGGTGTTTGACTTGGCAATGTACACGGCAATTCCACGTTTCTAGATACTATTACGAAGATCATATCAGGTTGGCACAATAATTCACATATGGATATTAATCCATATGAGAATCTCGAAGAATTTTGAAAATTCTAACACAGTTTGTTCGACTCAGGAATGCCTACACCACGACCGTAGTACACAATATGAACTTGAAAATCTTGCCGAAGGAAACTAGACCAACAGACCTTTCTCATAACACATATTGAAATATTCACGATTTTATAATATTCTAATATTCCGAAAGAATGTACCTAGCTAGTTATATTATTTTGGTTCAGTTTTTCTTTAGGTATATATTAAATTTGTACCTAGTCAATGTCTAAATTATTTACTTAGTTCTAAATTGAAGAAGTTTCGTAAACAGTTTGTTTTATTATTCCCATTAAATAGTTAGTTAATGTAACTGGGGTTGTTTAAATTATAAATGTGTTTTAAAATGTAACAGATGGTTATAATTGATTACTATTTATTACCAGTCTGTCTTGATTTTCTACGAGTTCATCATAATCGTAATCCTTTAATTTTTTTTATTGTTTCTAACGGACAGAGTGCCAGGTCAGCTGGGCTGGATCCCATTTTTTGGTCTTTTAGCAGGATACACCTTACGCCCAACATTTTCTCTTATCTCCATAATACGGAAATATGCGTCACTTTACGCAGTCACTACGCCAGCCAGTCTTCAATGTACAGAAAACATTTTTTTTATATCCGGGCATTCATGTCATTTGAGTGTGGGAGAGCCATTCTTCGGCACGAATGGGCCGGCTCGACTGGAGTGATACCACGGCCTTACAGAAAACCGACGTGAAATAATGCTTGCGTTGTGTTTCGTCGTGTGAGTGAGTTTACCGGAGGCCCAATTACCCCCTCCCTAGTCTCCCGAATCCTCCACAATCTTCAAATCCCCAATTTCCAAAAGGCCGGTAACGCACTTGTAACGCCTTGGTGTTTCGAGTGTCCATGTGCAGCGCCGATTGCTTACCATCAGGTAATCCGTCTGCTCGTTTACCGGCTTAAAAATAGCATTTTATGGTTAACCTACCTTTCATAGAACTGTATTAACGGATCATTCTCAATGTCACTCATGTCCATCTGTTTCCCTCGGAGGATCACTTCACTGTTCTTCTTCATCATGAGCCAGCCAATGTGTGAGAAGAAGAGACCTCGTTTCGCATTATGAGGGTCCGCATCAGTGTCGCTGTATTTGTGATGTACTCGGTGATCACGAACCCAGTGGAGTAAGGAGTTCTGGGAAGAAGATAATAGAAGTAGCCTTTTGTAAAGGAGTGATCAGGTACGATGTGCCAAGGACTTTATTTCAGGACTATAAAATCGAAAATCGAATGAAGAAATATAGACACGCTACGAATAGTTTCAATGTACCACATAAAATGGGTAAAGAATTTTTGTGTTTTCTTTCCTTAATATACTTTCCTTAGACGCCATACTATCTTTCTTTCTGCTTAAGATTTGTTTATGTAAAGGTACATTCTGAGACGTGATACCGACTTAAAATATCCCCGTGTCTACGAATAAACACAGCCACGCAAAAGCAGCTTGCGTGCTCAGTTTAAAAAGCATCTCAACATTTCTGTACAATGTTTCACGCAATTTCTCAGAGCTCCATTCATCCAGATCCTGGCTAGCTATTAGCTAAATGTTGTGTGTCTTTTTACAGCTCGTAAAAAGGCTAAAATATAAAATGTTAAGAGACAAAGTAAATGTTTAATTAAGCTTTGTTTACCTGTCCCGCACTTGAGAAACATAAAAGCAGAAACAGTTTGAGAGGCAGCGTTGCTTTGTAAGATTTGTGCGTCCACAGACGGTGAGCGCCCCCAGTTATTCCGAATCCAGATGCCACGTACATAATCAACGCTGCGAACATAATTAGTTGTTTAATTAAATTGCCAGAACTTAATTGGAATGATATAAATGAAAAGTCGTATAAACTTTGATTCTGAGTACTAGAAAGTATTATTCAAGTACTTGTGTAATGAAAGTTTTTCTGTTTATTGCGTGTGGGTTATTATATTAGGTGTTATGTTATGCCATTTAAAAGAATACATTCCTAGAATAAAAACAAACATTAATGTTATAACAGAAAAGAAAGAGAACTAGAATTAAGTGCTTCAATAACTATGATTTAAGAAAGGCTTTTGTGTGATAAAATAGAAGAACTATTTTCCAAGATCTCTCTAAATAGGTTTTTTGTAAAGTAAAATACGAGGAGACGGGTAAAGGTCAAGAAGAAATGGGTATTAGGTTCAGTGACTCATCATTACTTACCGAATACAAGGGACTGCCATTTCACAGGGAAAGCGTAATGGTAACACCAATACACAGCGAGCACATGATACAACGAAATAAATATAAAACTAGACCACTTTATGTCATTTTTGAAACCTAGATTCTTTTCGAAATTCTGTACTATTTCACTTAATGTAATACCGCGTTTAATTTTCTTTTCTTCCATAGTTCTTTCCATTTCTAACTACGACCGTCGGATGTCACCCGACGTGTGGTTTAAATTATGTTTATGCCAGCTTAAATAAACTCGGGCGATGTACTGGCTGAATGTAAATGTGAATTATCATGTATTCAGAGTAATAGGTAAATATACGGCTACTACACGCCCGCGTCCGCCTGATTTACACTGTTTTAGGAATCGGCGAGTAATTAATATAATGTTTCAATTATAGTAAAATTAAATCATTTCATGACCATTCACCGTGACGGGTAATTAGTGTCCTATTTCGTGCAGTTATATTTGCAACTTGATTTATTAATTAATATTTGAGATGTTCATTTGTGTATTTAATTTTATAGTTGGCGTAACCGAGCGGACGGATCACCTGATGGTAAGCAATCGACGTTGTCCACGGACACCCGAAACACCATGGGCGTTACAAATGCGGTACCGGTCTTTTAGGAATTGGAAATTTGAGGATTGTGGGGGATTCGGGGATTGGGGAGACTGGGAAGGGGGGAGAGGGATAATTGGGCCTCCGGTAACCTCACCCACACGACGAAACACAACGTAAGCGTTGTTTCACGTCGGTTTCCTGTGAGGCCGTGGTATTACTCCGGTCAAGCCGGCCCATGGCCCGAAGCATGGCTCTCCGACTCTTAAGATTAATAGTGGATTAGTGTAGGTAGTTATGTAGAATTTATTGGCACACTTATTAGACTTCTGACGGTTTATGACTAATATCCCAAAATAGTTATAGTATTGTACAATGTTTCGAAAATAAAATGGAGGTCAAAGTCACGTACTTTATTTTATCTAATTTATGTATGCCATTATATTGATCGTTTGTTCTAAAGGCAAAGATCTTATAGAAATAAATTTTACAAACAATTGCAAATGCAAATCTGTACATAAATTAACTTTGCTGCAACGTACAGAACCACTAAAATTTCAATAATAAAATATGATAATCAGTGAAAATAATTAACATTCAATAGTTCATTGTGTTAGACAGTCATTCGTATTAAGAAACGGAGCCCTTTACATGTAAATATATTTTTATCCACCATTAGTAAGTATCCAGGTTAATGATTACACCTTTGTTTGATTTCGTAATCGTATTAATGTTATTTGATGTCAAACGCTTGAAGTAACTTAAAGTCTTACAAGTAAGTTGGTGTCTTATAAAGCCACAGAAGCTACTCTACATTTTATTTAGAACTTTAGTAAGATACGTTAGGTATTAATTTTGTCTACGTTATTCTCCACAGAAGAAAATAATAGTTTGCAAGTGCACAATGTTGACTACACGGTTGGTGCGGTGGCTGGGCAACCAGCTGCCGTGCAGCGTGCCGCCGGTTCGATTCCCGCACGGATTCCGCACAACACTGATTGTGTGATCCACAAATTATTGTTTCGGGTCTGGGCGTCATATCACACAGGAGACAATCCTAGTGTGGGGCAACGATTTTTGTTAAAAAAATATTGCAATCTCCTATAATACTTGATTTATGTTTATGCCTTGGACTTTAAAAGCTAGTAATAGAAGCTTATGCTCGGCAGGCAAGTTTTCGTTTTCTAAGTTAAAAGATTTAATATCTTTTATTACATTGCCTACGACCATAAAATAGTAAATGATAATAACTCGTAATCCTGCGGAGACAATAAAACCAACTTGGACATTTAATAGGGCTTGGTTCGCCAATATATTTTTCTTAACATTTTTTCAAATGAAAGCGGCAATTCTCCAAAGAGTAAGTTACAATAATCGTAGAAAATCTGTATTAATGTTACGGGTATTGAGTATAAACGCTGTTTCTTAGCTGAATTTATGGCCTCCCGTGGTGTTACTTATTACCGACCTACGCTGGCAGAAAAGTTTTAAGGTAAATTCTCTTTCTTTAGCTTTCTAAATCTTTGTTCTTTGCGTGAGTTAGGATTTTAACACTTTATACTTACTTGTTCGTTTTGTCTTATTATTTTTTTTTTCGGCCATTCCTCTTTTGAGCACAATATTCTCGGCCTTTTCTTCCGTTTTTGTGTGTTAAAATAAAACGTCTTAATTTCCTGTTCTTATCTAAAACGGGAAAATGAGGTTAGCGGCTGTGTTTTTTTCACTCATTCATCAAAAACTTGCAAAGTGTTCAAATCTTGGAATTTGGACCCGAGTTATGTTTTAGATTCATAAATTATTTAGTTTTTTAACGGTGGGTTGTGATAATGTATGCAGTATATAGTTAATTATGTAAATACTATGACTGCTTTATCCTTAATGTGACGGTAAGCGCCATTGGACAGACATTACTCTATGATTTAGTGTTCCATGACCTTGACTGCAACTGTAGTATAACAATCTTTTATCAGCTGTGCAGTGACAACAGAGTACAACATAGTCGTAACCAACCCTACTTTAATCGTGGATATTGTAAGGCTTTTCAACTCCAAGTGACTAGACATTTCACAGAGACCAGGCAGCAGTATTCTCTTAATAAGCCTGGAGCAGGGCAATCAGAGACCTTAGTCAAGTTTGTTTTACGTTAAAAATCATCGAAACAAGACCGCGTTCGGCACTGTGATTGGTTGGTTCATTGGAGCCGGCCAATCAGAGTGTCGAACGGGGTCTTGTTTCGATGATTAAAATGAAGTCGTACTATAATACTTTCGCGTTAAGAATGCAGTAAGTGTCTGTCGGCCTAACCCCGCCCCCTAAACTGATTTCAAACTTTTAAGTACATTTTTATAAACTCATTCAAACCTAATCTTTCAAAATATAATAGGGTAGTAGACAGTGTATGAAAATTAAAATGTATTTAGTCCGTCTTTTTAATTTAAAGATTTTTAATTTTGATACCCTGGGAACTACCCAACTCCTTAAATTGTCATCTCCAATCTATCTGCCAAGCATGGAGATTATGACCAACTAGTATATGGAGATGACGACCTTCGATAGCAGTAGATTGTCGCGAGCTATTGATGCTGTTACTTTTACTTCACCCATCCATAAAGTCGACTGTAAATGAATATTCATAAAACCAAATAAAACACCGATTCTGTATAAAAACCTGGGTACCAGTAGTTGGGGTTTTTAATGGGTCCATTATCGGAAAACGTTTCGTCATTTCGCGTTCCTATTTACGCTCTAAATGTCCCATGATTGTGTATTCGTCGATATTATTTTATAGACCATGTCGTTATGAAGGGCCTAAGTCATACCAAAATGTTTTTTGTGCATATGTTTTGAAGAAATATTAGAGGGTTAATTTAAATTAATTTTTGTGTAAATTACGTTTAAAAAACCCGACTTCAACCTCCTGTTTTTTTGAACTCGGTTAGTTAATATGCTAAAACCTTCTTCTAAGTGTAACAAACACTTTACTGAAAACCACGTCAAAATCGATCTAGCCAATCAATTGCGATATAATCGCGCACATACATACATACGTACAGGACAAACTGAAACTGAACTTATTTTTTTGAAGTCGGTTAAAAAAGGTTTTAATATTATAGTGTAGTACTAATATACTTAGTTACTTTTGAAATAAGAACCATGGTATTATTTATGTTCCTTGAAAGTTCCCAAAAATTATTAATTAGGAATTTACATAAAAATATTGATTACCAAAACAAAAGATACTTGTATTTTTGTAAATTGTAAATAGAATTTCAAATTTCGAATTTCTGAGAACGAAAATGTCCACCATATTTTATTTTCTTTTTTATTTCTATATTCAAACGTGGAACGGTTGGCGATTTCTAATTCAGCATCAGTTCGTTCTAACCGGCCAGTGCTCATGCATAAACGATCGATCAGCCAATTATCTATCGGTTGCGGTAAGGGTTGCTTGCTATACACAGATACCTGTAGTCTGCGGCTTTACGGGATTTTGGTCAAAATTGGTAAATAATCTATGTAACTAGATATTATATTTCCCTAAAGGTATTATGTTATTGATACTGTTTATTTTTCCTACACGTGTGAAAATATATAAAAATAGCTTTATAATTTTAACATAACATAACATCACACCTTTTATCCCCGAAGGGGTAGGCAAAGGTGCACACAGAAGTAACACCCACTTTTCACTATTTATGTTATGAATCCCATGTAATAGGGGTGAGCCTATTGCCATATACCGGGCACATTTCCAGATTCCTTGCTACTACTGAGTTTTTTTTAAAACCCAGTATTACTTTGCCCGACCCGGGAATAAAACCCGAGACCCTTTGCCCGGCAGTCGCAGTTGCGACCACTCAGCCAACGAGGCAGTCAGTTTATAATTTTAATACTACATGAATGTAATTAAACATACACTTTAAGTAAATAGGGTCAACAAATATTCTGTATTGGTTAAATGCGTGTTGTAGGAGATTATCATAAAATAGATTTTAATCACGTAGACAAAACAACAACGCCTTTGTTTAATTTTTTTAAAACATATTTAGGTCGACGGTTGGGAACGATTACCTAAGCAAAGAAAGTATAAATAGGTGACAAATTAATATCTTTGTAATAAAACCTCAACCACTAACAACCTCCTTGTATGCCAGGAACAATCTATAGACGAGTGGCTAGTGACGTCGATTTATGTGGCAACCCTAGCCGTCGATAAAGACATAAACACGGTTATGAAGCACCCTGTAAAATAGATATAACAAAATAATCAATTATTATAGTTACTGCTAATGCCATCTAGTGTCGCTTATGTTAACTTAATAACATTAGAATGAACAGACCGGATGAACGGCTGAGTAATGTTCAAATGTGTTCAATTATATTCAAATATAGTTCAGTTGATTGCAAACCAGCATAGCGTTTTATTAGGTTATGGGCCCAGGCTCGTAAAAGTTTTTTTTCTATAAGTGATCAATCAGTGCAATTGGAC